GCAAGAACGGATAGTTAGAAAATTTCCCGATAAACACAAAGCACGTATATTTATATATTGTCGACGCATGAGAAAAGAATTGTGTTTCAATATATGTGGGCATCGAACAGGACGAAATAGAAAGAGTATATCCCATTATGAGCAATAAAAGATTAACAGGCTATCTCCTGATCGGGATATAAATTCGACTAAAATTAGTTAAAGGTCTTTGTGCTTGATGCACTTTTGATCAAACACAACAGAATCCGTTTTTCGAGCTCGTTTGAATGGTGAAGTTAATTTTACCCCAAAATGTCGTCATTTTCCCCTTAATCGTTTTTATGACGAAATTTCATGTTTATATCCCGATCGGGATACTACTTTTTTTCTATATCCTGATCGGGATATAGGAGGTCTCCCCTTACTGACTTTCTCACGCTTGAAAAAAATTACTTTTCATTTTTAAAAAAGTTAAGCTTTTATAATTTTACTTTAAAATCATTGAAAAAATTATTTTTTCCAAAATTCTCGTCAGAAACCAAAGACCAAACGTATCTAAGTTTAGACTATTAAGTTTCAGGAAGTTGAAACAGAAAATGAGCTCAGATGGTGAAAAAAATCAAGAATAACCAAAAAACCGAGCTCGAAATTCCAGCAAAATATGACTTTTTGTTCTGTACCACCAGTAGCCAGATAAAAGATATGGTTTGAATTCAAGTGAATGCACAAAAATATCCGAATACAAAAATTATTGTTCTATTAACTGAACTAACATTCTTATATCCTACAACTAGAAGCAATAAGCCACAAAAGCGGTATAAACAATCTCAGATAACGGTAACTCTATCTACTAGAGCTCCTAATCGAGCCAATTTCTGATGATCCTGTCTGGCCCAAAAAAAGTCCAAGTCCGTCCGACTCATCATGCTAATCGGTTAGCCTGGCCCACCCGGCTCGAGTCTCACTGTAAATCTTTTTTAGACTAAAGTTAGCTTTATTATAGTAAAAATGCATAAAAAAAGCTTTGCTAAACATTGATTCAGCAGCAATATCAGTTAATTAAGAAAACAGAAGTATTTTTTTGACAACAGAATTCACTAGATAATGCTAATATTTACTTTTAGACTAGTCAAATTTAACTGAAAATATGGATAAAACTTTTAAAATTTCTTGGGCCGAACTAGCCCGAAAAAAACGCTGGACCGTCCAACCCGAAAAATTTTCTGGGACGGCCCGCCTGGCCCGAGAAAAAAATCGACCGGTTCGATCTGAGATGAGTTGGTCCCGGGCCGGTAGAATCACTAGAAGCTTTGATATCTACTAACAAATGTCCGCTTGTAATACTTGAAATCAAAACGAAAGATAGATCGGTTACTCAGGAAAATGAAATTCAACATCTTAAGTCCGAAACTAATCAATTATAAATTAGTCTTTTATTATCCACCTTTCCATTTCTCATTAAATCAAATTGCTCTGTTTCTGAGCAAAAATTTCAGCATAATCTATTAGAAATTAAAGACATATATAGACGAAGGACTAAGCGTAACTTAGACTAACTTTTAAACTTGATTTGGCTCATCTACAAATAGGAAACTGTGGTAAAAACTCAAACGGCAATCGGAAGAAAGAACGTCGTCTATTCTGAATGACTTTTACAACAGCAAAAATATTCGTAACAGCGATCTATCACTCCAATTAGAGTTTTTCTACTTGATAAGATCAAGTCTTTAAATGGTCAGCATTTAGTTATTTCTTTCATTTTCACTGATTCCAATACTTACCGTTCTTGACTTAAACCATGGTGTTTTGTATCAATAAATCATCCACCATACATTTATTATAGCTAATGTGTTTTCCGACTTCTTTAAGATTATAATTTTTTGCAATCTACAATAAATAAATACGAAAAATGTACATATCATACAGTTTCAATGGCTGAAAGTATTCATCGGCCAATAATAATGATACTATACCTATTTAAGATAAGAAAAACGTATTTATAAACTTTAATAATGAATAATAAACGTTTTTATAGTAAACTTGACTGTAATCTACGTTAACTAAGTTCACAAGCAGTTTTAAACGGTACTACTCTGAAAAAAGTAAATCAGCATGAACGTCTTGAAATTGGCTTACGTTAGATTAATATCTTACTAGATACGATCAAATTGATTTTATTGCAGAAAAAATGAATAACCACTTGAACATCCCTTTTTATACATACTGCATCTGTACTGAAGAGGAATTTATCATATATTTTATCTGTCACAAATTACAAGTTCTTTATAGCAATATTACAATAAACAAGTGTTGAGCAAACTAGAAAAAATACGGACTAAAGCTCTTCTACTCATCGAGAGATATGCTGTACTAACCACGTCAAGAAAGAGAGAATAGTTTTAATCAGTATCGTTCGAGACTAGAATGACTTAGAGCATAACGGATCAATACACGTGATATTTTGTACCGAGTCCTTCATCTCAGACTTGTAACATTCACAAAATAGTGGAACACTACTTATATAGCTTGAGAAAAGTTGACAATCTCACATTAGCTACAAAGATAAATATTCACCTCTGTAATAGAGTAGATTTTAAAGGATTATCATTCGTTGAGTATAGCACAAAATAGTGTCTTAGTGAAGCACATACATTAATACATTTAGAACAAAACGTTTTGCTTCATAGTCTATTTTATACTCCTTTTTCTTTCCTTCGCTTCGATATTTTGTAATGATCATCACGCTTTTTTATAATGTTTTTTCGTACATACTCCTTTTCTTTTTATCTCTTCTTTTTATCTTATCTTATTGTGTAGCATCTACATCAGAGCTGGATAAGCACGAGATTTTTCGAGTTCGAATCGAGTATTGAAGATTTGTACTCATACTCGTCCTACTCTGATAAATATTTTCTCGTTTTTATGAACATGTGTATAAGAAAATTTAGTATCTTAGATGAGCTGTTTCAATAAAATAAAGATATGCAAGCTTAAAATCATGTTTAACATGTAATCAAAAACGAAAACACTAAAAATAAAAATTGTTTCACTATAAAAAGTATCACAAAGAAACAGTCATAGTTCAACAACATAATAAGTAAAAATAATCACCAAAAAAAAATTATGCTTTGATGATTGTATTCATCCGAAATCGTTATGAATGAATTAGAGTAAGAAAAACAGATCATTCTCTTTGAGAAAGTACAAAAATAAAAACATCTAGATTAATTGAATTGAAATAAGAAAATAGTAAAAAAAAAATATCGAAGTTTTTTGTTTGTTAAGTGAATGATGAAAAAAAAAAACTAAAATTATTTCACAAAACATATCTGACTATTTACAATTGATTTATCACAGGTATTCAATGGCAGGATACAGGATTAATTATTTTTTCATTTGATTATTATTATAATCGAATATTTGTAGCAAGACAGGATACACCACCCAGCAAAAGCTGAATAGATCCTTTCGTTTATTGTCAAAATGTTGTTTTTCTTTCGTTTTTCTGTTTCGTTTAATTTGTTTTTCATAAGTAACGTAAAACCATGCCGATGCTTTTTTATATATTTCATCATCAATACTGTTATTTTTATCACCAGTTATATTGTATAATTTTGCTAAATCTAACTGATTTTTCCACGTTAATTTTTGCATAATTTTTTGATAATTTTCTTCAAATTTCATATCATGTTGTTGTTCATTTTCATCATGTTTTGGATAATAAAATTCATTCCAAAATATTTTTATATATTTTTCACGTATAAATCTTACACTATAATTAATTTCTTGACGTAATTCATACATTCTTGATTCTTTACTATATTTTTTATTCATTAGTTTAAGAATATAGCCACTGATCAATTCACTTTCACGTTTTATACCGTATTGTCTCATTATTTGTCTTAGTTCGCGATCATATCCTTGTTTTATAAACTCTGCATCTTCTAAATAATCATCTTTACCATTAAGTACAAATTTTTCATATGGAATCAAATTAAGAGCAGTATAGTTATTATAATCATTTTCTTCATTTAATTCACATTGATGTGTTTGTACTTGATCGTATAATTGTCCCAGAATATTTTTCGATATATAGTGTGGTTTATCGTTCTTTTCCATAAAATGTGGATATTCTACTGGTTTCAGATCTCTGGTTAATTTCGGTGCACATACACCATTTTTAGCAAAATCGACCGCAATCGAGTGCATTTTAGCTAGTTGAATACATTTATCATTTTTTGCCTGGAGTGGTAATTGATCAGCAAATGCCAAATGACGGTTGGCTATTAAGCCAAGATTATCTGCTTCAATATATTCAGAGAAAAATTTACAAACATTTTCGATCGATATTGTTTGATTTGGATCGGATAATGCCTGTTTTTCTGCTTCAAGAGCTTGATCGTGATAGTCTAACGGTGACTCATTTGATGAGAATATCAAACGTTTGTCCCAAGAGACAAAATAAACATCGCCATCTAAATCTGAGCCAGATATTTCCAATGTAAGCGGGCGATCACCATCCATTGGAAAAACGATAACATTTGTGAGTTGATGTAATTTGGGAACATCGATCGCATCCAATAAACGAATATCTCCTAAAATAACAAAAAACACTATTTAAAATCAATTCTATAGATTTGGAATGAGCAAAATTAAGTGACTGAAACGATTTTGGACATCTTGATTGAGTATCTACTAATTAACTTAGTTATCTTGATGAATTCACAGATTGATACTAAATACTTCTGCAAATTTTAGTGATTGAGGTGCAAACACTTTGATTGTTAAAGTATAAATAATATCAAAGGAGAACTATAATCTAGAGTAAGTTCAGTGTCACAATTTTACTTTTGATAAAAAATACTGTTATGCGCGTATATATATAATGCATAGCAGTCAAGTTGAACAAATATTTGAGAGTATTTGAAACCTTCTATAATAAATTTACGATATTGAACATTAACAAAAGAAAGCTGACATACCCGGATGAAAACAGGGATTTTTTGTTACAATTACGGGTTTTTGTATAATAATTGCAGGCTTTTCATATTGTTCAATTTGTATAAACACTTGTCCATATTTTAATGTACGTGTTTCATCAATAACACCAAGTAAACATGCTCCATGTTTAACAAGTATACGTGCTTTTGTTCGTAATTCTTTGACTAGAAACGCTTGAAAACATAAAAGCATTTGTCTTAATAATGGATCGATTTTTGTTCCAAAACGTTTTAAACAATCAAACATAAACATATGACAAAAATTTTTTGAACCAGCATCTATCAATTCTTTTAGCAATTCTCGTGCACCTATTGAATTTTCTGTAATATTTATTATTTTTCTTAATATTTCATTTTGCATATTAAGAAATACGGTGTTTGCGATACCTAACGAACTTAATAATAAAATTATTTGACGATTTAAAAATGCTGGTGATGATGATGATGACGAACGCACAATATTGATAGATTTATTTAATGATATAAATTTTTCCATCGAAGGACGAATGAATAATTCTATAGTAGGATCACGAATTTTATTTGCAACATCCAAACATATCATTCCTGAAAAGTAACTGCTGTATACAATAATTTTAAGCAAAATTCAATGTATAAGTTTACGTAAGAAGCAGAGCTAGGCATCTCTATGATAACAAGTCATTTTTTGGCTTAAAAAATGACTTGTTACCATGAAGATGCCCAGCTCTGGTAAGAAGTAAATTTTGTCTGTGTGTAAACGTTCTACTCTAAATCAAATGATTAAGTCTTTTTTTATATTAAATCTATCACTTTCTTATGAATTTCATAATTAAATAAAAGAAATAAATTGTCGGTATATCTAGGCAACTGTTTTTGTAGAAGAACTAGAGTAACAGAAAAAGGAAAAAGATTACCCTTTGAGCCGCCAAATCGTATTTGAAATGCACATGCTGGATGTTCTAACTTTAGCTGTTTTGAAAGTTTTTCACATAATTGTTTCGATACTATCCCGATTCCATCCGTGAAACAGTGTTTGGACGGTGTAAAAACATCCTTCTCCATTGTCCATGAATATTTTTCGACTTCGGTACCTTGAACAGTAGTGGAAAAACTTTGTCCTAGTCTTGCTGCATATTTTGATACCGGTCTAATATTACCAAAATGACCCATCCATTGTCGAATACTAGTTGCATTTATATATTCATTTCTTTTAGATGAATAAGTATTTTTCGCAAACATCCATGCTGAATGATCACGCAATTGACTACTGGAAAACGCCAGAAACTCATATTTTCGGTCGCAAATACTGATGCCATTATACATAACTTGCTCGATATATTCATACAATTTAGTCATATTTTCGTTACCATTTGACAATTTTCGGTAATCTTCATCACGAAAACTAATACGTATAAAACCATGTTGTACATCATCAAAATATCGTGTAACACTATTTTTCTCTTCTCTATATGGACCTTCATATAATATCCTACACGGTGTAACATATATTTTTCTTATGAGATACGATTCAATATCTAGTGTCTTTAGTTCATGTTTTGTCACATAAAAGTTTTTTGTTGTTTTACATAATTCACGTTTGTTTTTAAGTTCATTTATAGCTAATAACAACAGACGACTAAGAGCGCCTATACGTTGATTTTTTACTTGTTTAATAACCCTGCTGACTGTCATCTTCTTATTCTTAATCGGTATGCAATGTGTAGACGAGCTATCGATGATATCGTTCCATGTTGATTTTACCGTTACAGATGGAACCTTGTGTTGTGTTTTATGAGATGGCTGTTCTACTTCCTCTTCGTCTTCCTCTTCGTCATCATTGTTTTCATACGAACTTTTCCATCGAAATGCCAATTCTCCAATTTTATCTAAAACATGACTGAAATATAATTTTAATCTAGAGCAAAGTGAATGTAAAGTAAAAATGACTATCAAGAAATTCTGACTAATACAAAATTACTAAGTGATAAAGACAGAACATGAAAAACCAACGTGCAAATCCAAATATTTCGTGATATTTTCTCGTAAAATCAAACCCATTACCTGTACATGCAATAAAAGTGTTCCTTGATAATCTTGACAAAATATTTTCTAACGTTTCATCAACGATAAGATCATGCGCTGTAATAATATGTTTAGAAATTAATTTCATTAATTCAAATTTAATTTCAAAATTGTAACTTGACCACCGTTTATGTATAAAATTATCATAAAAAGTTCGATGATCATTTACCCATTTTTCATTCGATAATAATAACACATTTTTCAATTTTGTTGGTGCGTGTCGTGATGAAATTAAGAATTGTATATTATGTTGATCAAATGGGTGTTTACACAAAGAATAGCGAGCTAATGTAGTAAACATATCAATATAACATGTAGCTAAATTTCGTTGTGTGCTTTCAATATTCAGTTCTCCAAGTTGAAATAGCCATACATTCGATTGACCAATTAATAAATTGCCTCTTAAACGTATTTCATCATGGCCAACATACGAAATAACGGGCGGACGTTTAATTTCGACAAGTAAATAGACATATGGATCAATGACTTGATCGTAGACCACATTCGATCCATGTATGATGTGACAAGTATACACAGGCGCAATCCGTTCACCCTTTAAATCACGAAAACTCCATTGAAAATGTATTTCATCAAACGAACGTTTAATAATAATTGAAAATTTTTTTCCATTTTGATCTATTTTAAAGTATGATAGTCTATCATCATTCTGTGCAAGCAGCGATGAAATTATACATCCATGATCGAAAGACGCGTGATTTTGGTTACTATCAATTATATTCTTTGTCGCTGGGCCAGTAATTAACGTACCATATTGAATATTATGAATAGGAAATAAGAGTTCTGTTTCTTCATCATTTTCCATTGATCGCTTTGGCTGCTTTTTTGGTTTGTTTGCACGGTTGACAAATAAAACAACAGATTTAAAATTAAATTTTGATGGATTGTTTTTATAATCAAACAGAACATGTTCTGCCGTTTGAGACGTACTGAATTCAGCAAATCCAAACCACGAAGCACGCGATGGTGTCTTCAAGGTAAACTTTCTTATATCTTTGTAACCAAGTTGAATAAAAAAATCTATTAATTCCATTTCTTTTGAGTATTTTGGTATATTTTTAACATACAATTCGAATGTACCGAACAGAGCATTAGCTGCTAATGTATCTGCATTCTCGGGTGGCAAATTAAGCAGTGAAGATGATGCTATAGAGTGAAAAAGTAATGATGAATTAAAATAATCTTGGATAAAATCACCGAATTCCACTGTTAATTCAGGTTGTTGATTGTTTATGATTGATGCTAACGATACGCTAAGCGCTGTTGTTACATCCATCTCGAGAGGTACCATATCATCATCATCATCATCGGAGCCGAGAAATATATCGAATAGATCATCGAATATATCAAGATCTGCTATATCAAACATGTCATCAGATATATTATCTTGATTATTATCACCATCATCATCATCATCATCCATAACTAACTGCACAAAACTTATCAGTTACTTAAAACAGAAGAATAAACTTCAATTGATAATAGATTATACTTATCAGTTTAAAAAACACCCAGAGAGTTAGAATACTGCAAAGCGCGACCCATTGAAAAATGCTGAACAAGCCAGCTCTTTCTCTAAAAGAAGATTAAAGTACACTGTTGTTCAACTAATTTTCACTAATTCAGAACAAAGTAAAAAATTGAACAGTAAGACTCGATAGTTAGTATGAATTTTTAATGGAAATCGTGATCGTATTAATTGAATTCAGAAATAACTTTTAGTTGTGTATTGGAAATTGTCGTCAATTTGTAATGTTAGAAAAGTTTAAAAGTATATTAATTTTTATTAACGGAGAAAATGCACACAAGCATGAATCTTTGTCAGTTTAGGAAAAAACAAGGCGTATGATACAGTTTTAGATGAAAAATCTCAAATTATCTTTTACATCTAATCGACAGAAGCACGTATCCATTCAATTTCTCGTTTTTAAGCTCACATAGTAATCCTGGGTATTCCGAATGATACTAACAGTTTACGTTAACACTGCTGAAAACAACAACAACAAGACAGTTGTCATTTTTCTCAGAAACTTCCATAATTACGTGAAAAACACACTGAAACGACACAAAGATACAAAACTAAAGCTGCGAATCCGATCACGACATGAACAACTGGGAATAAACATTGGTGGTTCATAACGAATAAAATTCCGTCAGAAATTTTTGTAATTCATCAATTCCTCATTAATTAAAGCTCGGAAATGAATTGTAGCTAGCAGAGCGATTAAATTTCTTTTGCGTTGTCAGAAGTTACCTGCCAATATCTCCTAATAAAAAATGACAGCAAACAGTGTCAAAAAGTAAACGGCAAAAGTTCATAACGATGACCAAATTTGAATAACAGACAGTATTCCTCAGATTGCTGAATTGAAACAGAAGAAAAATATCATTAAGGTATCCTCTGAATTATATAGACTCGGCTACTCTATACGATCACGTCACCGTAGCACTTAAGCTGTTGTTTTCTTTAGAAACATATATGTCAAATATCATCTTACTCAAATGAAATGAAAGATGCACCAAAAATACGAGGTAGTTAACTTTTTTTGTGCTATTTGTTTTACATCTGATTTATGTATGAGAGGATAGACTTGATCAAAGATCTATTTCTCAAAGGCACAGCTGATCATTTTCTTGAAACTTACTCAAATGAAACATCTGTAATAGGTTATAGAAATTATTGTTGATCAATATTGCTAGCAGGTGATTTCCCAGACTTGCAAAGTGGAGATCCAACTAAAACACCATGGGTGAGCCTGTCCACTGCTTACGAAAGGCGGAAATCACATTATTTTCGCTGATTTACTTTGAATTATCAAAACTATTTCGGAACATGTACGATAATTACGATATCGTTCCATCACCAAAAGAACAACGTACAACAAAAGCTAGTCAGACAAAAGAAAAACGAACACAAAAATCATCATCTCAATTATATAAAAGTAAACAATATAAATTAATATCAATTACCACTAATATAAACAGTGGACAACGGCATGCTCTACAATGTAGTAACAATAATGTGGACCTGTCAGATGAGAGTTCTACACTCTTGGTTGAAAATAAAATTGAAATTTCGTATATGTTTTTTAAATTTTCACTTTTAAGATCTCTTTTGGTTAGCATACGAACTTGGCACTTGAGACTTAGCGGTACTTTTTAGTCTTCCCTCTAAATTAATATAAAATGACATTCTTAAAGAGCGATGGTTTTATCTGTTTTCTAACCAAAAATCAATCATTATCACCCAATTCACAAACTTCAACACCACTGTCAGTTGCATCTACAAAGTCATCAAGAGGAATAGTAAGAACGTTAAAAAAATAGAAAAAAAATTAAAGAAGAGTTGTCACAAACACAGGCTGATATTGAAAACAATAATGAAAATATTTACTCATTAAAACAAAACTTTATTGACAGTGTTGAAAATGACCCATATTGCGAAAGCAACATCGTCGTCTACTTCTAATTACCAGAAAATAATGACAGAACTAGAGATCTGCACGAGTATGGGAATTCTTATGGTTGCGGGCATGGACAAAACACACCGGCGGACAACTGCTCTCTTGAATGATTTTACAAAAAAAAGCACCACGTCTGTGACACATCGGAGTGAACGAGATGTTTTTCCTGCACGGGCACGGCCAAGCACGCGTAGCGAAAAAAATCCAGGGACGGTTACAGACAAAAAAATCTTGCCCGTGCAGATCTCTAGACGAAGAATAACGCATATAAATCCTGAAACTTTGTCTCCCTATGACAGGACGGTAAAAGCATGGCATTGTCAATGACAATTTTTTAGCTTTTACCATGACAATTTGTCATGGTAAAAGCGTTGTATGATCACACTTCTTCTGGAGTACCGTTCGACGGAAGAATGCATGATATTATCATGCTTCAAGTATGATATTATCACACTTCCGTCGAAAATGCTCCACCAATCAAAAATCGTGATGTTAAAAAAGGCTACCCAGACATAACCATGCAACACTTTCACCATGACTTTATCTCCTTATTGGACGCTGGAGTTCTGTAAGATGATGCCATGGTTTTGTAGTAGTTTTTTTTAACACTTTTACCGTTATGTTTTTTACAGTAAACGACTTTTCCTTTTCTTTTCTTTGTTGATTGAATAGCAACTCAAGCAATGACTATATAATTCAGTAGATGTCACGTGATTTCGAACATCATACGGAGTATTGTTCGCACTGAAAGCATTTTTTTATGTTTAAGGTGAGTTTTATCAAGTGAAGTAATATGAGGGTCGATTAGTAACTCAACTAACTTTTTAGAAAAATTGAAGAATTTTTGCCTACATAATACATCAAATCTTTTATCTCCTGGACAAAAATTCTCCTAAAAATTTTCTAAAACGTTTCTTTTTTGAAGAACGCTGAAGAGCTCGAGTTTTTTCAATAACGCTTTTTAGTTACAGAAAACCTCAATCTTAGGAAAATTGCACTTGTCTTTACTCTGCGCGCAGTGTTCAAGACAGCGTTTCTGTAACTTTTCTCTCAACTAAATCATCGAAGCTTCCGTTGGATACATAAACGGAACATCATCAACATATCCATGTCGACGAAATCGCGGTATTTTTAACAATTAATCACGATTCTTGAAAAATCGCAGATTAATTGCGATTAATTGTTGGTTTTAAGCGATTAAATGGTTGGTTATTCACCATTTTGCAGTAACGTATGTATATAAGAAATACACTTCTATTTAGATCATCTTTTTATTTTAGAGTAAAACGGAGTTGTCAAGTCTTCTCTATGATCCCTCAGAGCTTTAAGTCGAGGAGCCCAGTGAATAGCTGGTATCTGGACAATGTCTAAAATCTACTCGTCGGAAAGACTCTAACTTCAGCTGGTCCTAAGACCCCTGCTGGGTGACATAAATGTCGCTATACATAATAAACAATGAAAAACAGAAAAAAAAATATGTATTTCCTAAGATGGGTTCGAAGTTACTATCAAGCAAAAAAAATCGTCAATGAATCGCGATTAATCGTACGATTTTTCACGATTAATTGTCGATTTTTATGCGATTTTTAGTACTTGGGTAAGTACGGTGAACAGAAACGGACCACCTGTCGTCATACTAAGAGTTTACACCAGCACTAGTGCCAGGAAAGATATCAGAATCTAGGAGCGGTGCACACCCGTGCACTACCAACGCTAATAGAAATCTTTTCGTATGGTTATAATTGAAAAACTTATCAACAACATCTATTGGACTTCTCGTCGAAAGACAACATATGATCGAATGCCTCCTCGAAGTCAAATGCAATCTCAAGACGCCTCTTTCCTTTCTTTAAATAATCATAAATGCATTCGTACATATAATTTGGCTCCTTCAAGGAGCCAGGAGCAATGCGAATTTGTTGAAGTAGACATTCTCTCCTTGGAGCTAAAAGGAAACAACGCTATATGAACAAAGAGTACTAAAAAGTAACTCGGTTTTTCTCTTAAAATATCGATTTTCTAGTAAAATAACTAGACAAAAAACAGAAGTTATTTTTTCCCCTCTGGGGTTGAATAGTTAGAGGAATAGAATAGAAGTAGTTTTTGCTCCTGATAAATAGCTATCACTTCGGCTTAATATCGAAATTTGTTTCCCTTTCTAGCATAAGAACACACTAATCATAATCAAACAGTTATTATTACTATTGATTTGGTCATTATTAGAATTTAACCTATATTATTGTACAAAATAAAGGCTTATTACTAACGGTATTATTTATCATCCAATATCAACTGTCTATTATCAGTATTTCATCCACCAGCATGACGATAAATTTAAATTACTCGCTTCATGTAATTAAAGCTCCAACAACATCATCAATGACAAGATGCTCATTAAAAATATAATATATTCCAAATGAATGTTAGTAAAACGATTGGCACAGGTTATACTCTAGTTTTAGCAGCATATATATACATTGACATCGCATAAATTTATGTTTCTGAATATTTTAGTTTTTGCATCCATTAAAATATTGTTGTAGTATATTAAATTCAATCTTTTAAACTATAAAGTATTAACATATTCTTTATTATATTCGTTACGTATTTATTACTATTTCATGTTGAGTATTGTTCTATTTTCTGTTAGCATTTTTAACCATTACGGTGTAAATCTTCATTCAAAATTGAAATTATCGATGCTGCAAATGATCTCATATTGGTTATATCAACGTATCAACAACGCCTATACCGCTTATTGAACATTAGCCGATAACACAACAATTTTCGAACTGATTTTGCCCATCATGCAAACCAGCCGCGACAACTGATCTGTCATCTCTACAATGTCTTCTGATTCAGCACATATTGATGTAATTGAACAATTATCTGGCATTAGCCAGTAACAATAATATATTAGCAATACGCTTGCCTATCTAATAGAAACAACGGAGCAAGTAAAACGAAAATATTTTGATTAAAAATCTTCATCCGGTGGAGGGAACGTCTGATAAAGTACTTGTCGCTCAGTTTATCGCTGATAATCTCGAAACTGCGATAAGCCGTATCCAGATTCTGATGAGGGCGCTGTATGTTAGCCATCAAACAGCATAAAAGCTGGAGGTAGCTTATGCAACTTTAAGCATATAAGTCTGTGACACGATTCCGATTGGTTGAACATAGATTGATCAAGGACACTAACAGAAACAAGTCCGCACTGTGAAAAAACCGCATGCTTTAATCATGCTAATTTGATGGTATAAATGTAAGCCTGACACTTTTTTTAACCTGCCGGTCAAAACGCCAGGTCAACATGACATTTTTACTGTTGGGTTGGGAAAAACGTCAGATTTTGGAACGTTTTAAACCTCTATATGATTTTGTGTTGAGGAATGAAATAGTCAGTGGGCAGGGTTTGAGTTTGCAAAGGCACACTTTGCTAAAGAATGGTCGAAGGGGATGCCTTTCATTTATTTATCTCGAAATTTTCTGGTATGTAAGCTGATGCATATGAGTCAGTTTATGTACTTTGCATATATAGTATCAGGACGGAATTCATTTTCGAGAGAGGGGGAAGTTTAGAGACTTACTCCGAAATATATAAACGCCAAAGGTCGTCATTTTTGGAACAGATAAAACGTCATATTATATTTATTTTTTAAAGAATGATTCACAACTGACGTTTTAAGAGTCAGGTTATCTGATAATTAAAACGTGCGGCTTTATTACAGTGTGTGACTTCTTCAAGCATTTGTGACGCATTGTAAGGTACGTGACATTTTTTGTGCGAATTTAAGGAACACTTGTTTATTTTTGTTAATTGTAACTAAAAAAGCTGTTTGTTAACGTGCTCAGTTTTGCTTCATTCTAATAGAATCAGACTGATCTATGGCGAGTAAAGTAGTCGGAACTATTACATAAACAGACGCGATTAAAGAATAGCTAGATTTCTGAGAACCTACGATCTTAAATAAAATATGCAAGAAACTATTTAAATTTCAATGCAATTTATTAAGCAAAAGACTCAGTATCATTCTTTAAAAGTGGTTAAAGATAACATTTGGTTGCTGAAGAATTATTATACGTCTGAAGCCTTCCCTTTTCTATTAACTGAAGTTTCAGTAAAATCAGAAAACAGCGTAGTTAAGTATATGAAAGAGTTCCATGACATTAAAGAAATTTCCGTAGATAGTTTAATTATTCAGTTTTAAATGTTTCAAAGGTTCCTGTGAAATATATTTAAACAAAAACAGTTAACCATAATATATACATAAGCAATTGCTGTTCACAAAAACTGTAGGTATTTGCAAAAAATCATCAGTCGCAGTTATGAACACAATTTTATTATCACAAAAGAAGTTTTGGCAAACAACACAAGCTAATCTAATGGACTGTAAATGGACCAAGAAAAGTAGGCAAGAATAAAAGGAATAAAACTGTATGTAAAATGAAGAATATCCAAAGCAAGAGCATAACTGTGGCAAAAGATCCCATTTCCGTGAAAACAAAAAGATCGACAGGAGAAATTCGCACCAAAAAATACCGCCGACAAGAGTTTGTAAAAAACTACTATCAACGTATCTATTATTTGTTTAATGGTGATTCGTATATGTTCAGGAGGATCAATGTTGAAAACTTAAAAAAATCTTAAAAATACAAATAGACCAACATGAATTACACTTGCTATGGACGATGAATTAATTTTGTTCGCTGGTGATAAATGTAGTACAGCTTTACCCAATTAGCACTCTCACGTATTTTATTTAAGATCGTAGATTCTCAGAAATCTAGCTATTCTTCAATCGCGTCTGTTTATGTAATAGTTCCGACTACTTTACTCGCCACAGATGAGTTTGATTCTATTAGAATGAAGCAAAACTGAGCACGTTAACAAACAGCCTTTTTAGTTACAATTAACAAAAATAAACAAATGTTCCTTAAATTCGCACAAAAAATGTCACGTACCTTACAATGCGTCAGAAATGCTTAGAGAGGTTACGCACTGTTAAACGTCATGTTGACCTGGCGTTTTAACCATCAAGTATGGTTAAAGCATGTGGCTTTTCCGAAGTGTATGCTTGTTTCTGTTATTGATCTTGACCAATCTATGTTCAAAACCAATAATCATTGTACCATGGGCTTATACGCTCCAAAGCTGTTACCCAACTCTGTGTGATAATCTGTTGATTGGTGAACAGGGATCTCAAATTCGGTGACTCATGGCGAACAGAACAAAGGAATCACCATGACAGTGCTTTGCTCTGTCCCCCATGAGTCACCGAATTTGAGGTGCCTATCGGTGAATGAAGTCATGGACTTTTGTCAGAAAACATTTTGAGTGAAGTCCATGGCTTTAACTGATGTAAATCCGTATCCAGATTTACACTGTATGTGGCCAAGCGAAAAAGTTGATGCAGAAAAAGGCCAACCGTCTACAGATTCTTTTGTGTTACCAGTTCATTGGATGAAAATTTCAAGGTGGAAAAAGATTAAATCGTATCTCGTTTCTTCTTTTAATTTTTCTATGCCCAGTTACAATTAAAGAGATATTCGAGATTCAAAAGTTTAGACGTCCCTTGAAGGGACGTCTAAACTTTTGAACAAGGGATTCCCTTGTTTACTGGCTAAAAAGCAATTTTTAAACTAATAAATCGTGAATATCCCTATAACTATAACAGAGCAGAAAAAATTGGAAACAATAAATAAAATCACGTTTAATTTATGTTTAAACGTTATACTTCCATCCAATCAGTTGGTAACACAAATAAGTTCGTGCTTTTGCAGAAAAAATGATTGAATGAGTCATCGTACACTGAGACACAGATCACATGTACCACTTCTTTGTTTTTCAATCCTCGCAAGTTTTGGAGCTCTATGAAAAACCGCATAAAAAGACTAAGCCTTAATTTATCAATCACCCGTAGTCTGCCTAAAAGAGCTCTATTTATTATTATTATCCAATGCAGATTACACTAAATAGATAGGACTAGCCAACCATAAATTGAAAAGCAACCTTCACGTTGACCAGCATTTTTTGCGAAAATAGTTAAGTGAATGATTTTCTTTTACTGTGTCCCAGTTCGAACCTTTATTCAACTGTTTTTTGGTCATATATCATACAAACCATTGAATAAGAAGTGGATCGGTATTACGTGGATAGTGCGCCATTGGAGTATTGGGCTCTTTTGTACTTCGAAACTTATATTGTTAGTGCTACTTCTTGTCTTCTTAGATTGTTGTACAGCTGACAAGTGTGATATTATAACTGAGGTTATATTAGTCACAATCGTTTTCAAAAAATGCCTCTTCTCAATAAAGGTGTTCATATAGTTACTTCGACATTGAAAGCGGTAAATATTTTAAAAAACTAGAAATGAATAATATCTCTAAAACTTTTCTTTCCAAATTATTTAGGTTCGACCGTTCAGTTTATACGGATGTCAACAGAAATGTTTTTCTTCTTCACAGTCATCAGTGAGTTTTTTAGTAGCAATTTCTTAATAGTAAAAATAGAAGATTTTTCGTTGTTTTCTTTAGAATCTCAAAGAAGTTTTGGACGAATTAGTACCACAGGAACAAAAACGCGTCAGCGAGTTTAAAAAACAGTACAGCGATACAGTTATTGGGAATGTCACTGTTGACATGGTGAGTATTGTGTGCAGATTATCCACTTGCCAATCTTAATATTGTTTCTTTGTTTTTTTTTGAGATCTATGGTGGTATGCGTGGGATTAAAGGAATGGTTTATGAAACATCTGTACTTGATGCGCAAGAAGGTATTCGATTTCGCGGTAAAACAATCGAAGATTGTCAAAAAGAATTACCAAAAGCAAAAGGCGGTGAGCAACCGCTTCCCGAGGGGCTCTTTTGGCTTTTGGTAACTTCCAAAGTGCCAACACAACAACAAGTATAACTACTTTGAACTTGAAAAATGCAAATAGATGAGAATAATTTCTATTCAGGTGGATTGGGTGACAAAAGAGTGGAACAATCGTGCACATATCCCTCAACATGTTGTGACAATGTTGAATAATTTTCCTAATCAGTTACATCCAATGTCTCAATTTAGTGCAGCTATCACGGTGTTAAACTTAGAAAGTAAATTTGCAAAAGCTTATGCAGATAATGTGCATAAATCAAAATACTGGGAGGTAAGGTTTCCTTTTTTTTGCATACTTTTTGCACAATTTTCTTCTGTTTGTAGTATATTTACGAAGATGCTATGGATTTAATTGCCAAATTACCGACAGTAGCCGCTATTATTTATCGTAATTTATATCGTGATGGTACAGCTGTTGGTGCCATCGATTCAAAAAAAGATTGGTCATGGAATTTTTCATCGATGCTTGGCTATGATAATAAACAATTCATAGAACTTTTACGTCTTTATTTGACTATTCATAGGTTTGTGCCCCGTTTTTTCGTAGAAAAACGAATTAGAAATATTTTTTTTCTTATTTAGTGATCATGAAGGAGGAAATGTTAGTGCTCATGCCTCACATTTGGTTGGTAGTGCACTTTCTGACCCATATCTATCGTTCGCCGCAGCCATGAATGGCTTAGCAGGACCATTACACGGTCTAGCAAATCAGGTAAAGACAGAAAATAAGTAAACCGATCATTTACTATTAAAAACTGCCATTTTGTTGACATGTTTGAGTTCTTTTCTAGGAAGTTCTTATCTGGATCACGAAATTAATCGAAAAAATTGGTGAGAATCCAACTGACGACCAAGTTAAACAATATATTTTAGATACACTGAAAGCAGGTATTTTAATGCAATATTTTTCGCAGAACATGTTGGTCTAACAACACGCTTTTAATTCTTTCTAGGCGTTGTTGTACCCGGTTTTGGTCATGCTGTATTACGTAAAACTGATCCACGTTATACATGTCAAAGAGATTTTGCATTAAAACATCTTCCAAATGATAACATGTTCAAAATTGTCTCACAGTTATATAAAATTGTACCGCCTATTTTGTTAGAAGGCGGAAAAGTGAAAAATCCATGGCCAAATGTTGATGCACACAGTGGAGTACTGCTACAGGTAAACATAGCGCTACTTAATTTTACAACGAAGAAATTAAGACATCATTTACTGTTATTGAATCGTTCGTTGTATTGGTTTACTATGTCAGATACATGATTTCGCCTTATCTAAGTAAAAAAAACCGTTTTTCTGCAGAAAGTTTGTTCTACTTTGTGGCTGAATAATCTCATAGCGTTCTTTTTCCTTCACTTTATTTAGCATCATGGTATGAAAGAAATGAATTATTACACTGTCTTATTTGGTGTCTCTCGTGCCTTGGGTGTTCTTGCGCAAATGATTTGGAGTCGTGCACTTGGTTTTCCATTAGAACGTCCAAAATCGATGTCGACTGATGGGCTTATGCAACTCGTTAAAAAACAACCTACTCAACAAACACAAGAAAAAGCAAAAGCTGCTTAAACGATGATACAACAAATCAAGCTAGTTCTTTTTTACAGTAGAGCTAAATGCAATAGAATACAAACGTGCATGTTTCGACATTTATCTCTCTCTACACCGTTATGTGTTCATGATCTATATTTTTATAAAAACAGAATAATACCACCTTTTCTTTTTTACTATTGATGTTTTTTCCAAAAGTTCTTTGTCTCTGTTTGAATCTCTTATACAATCTCGTAATAAAAAAACTTGTTAATCTGGGTAAATGCACTTTTGAGTTTCTGTTCTTCTAACCTAATAAAATAAATGTTTCTAGTTTTGTGGAACTATTTTTCTTAGCTCTGTAATACCCTTGTTTATTTATTTTGACATGTGTGTGTGCAAATTCTTCACTATTAAAAAATTTAGTTTACGTACAAAATTTTCCTAATAAAAAAAATGTCTTGTTTTCTCTCTCTCTCCAACAATAAATTCGTATAAGAACAGCCAAAATAAAATTCGAAATGATTGAATTCGAAAGTGTTGGACGGACCCAAAACTTTGAGGAAACAAAAAACAACTGTAGAATATTACGTACGATCAAAACGATCATCGTCAAAGAAAAAGGGAGTAAAATTTTATAAAATCACTAATGATCTAATCACTGAATCGATAAATTTTTCTATTTATTTGAAATAAATATTTTTGAACTTTTTACCTGAATGAAGAAAGGTAAATATTAGGGCGAAAAACGTACAACAAGGTGTTTAGACTATGTTTTTTACTTAATCCTTCAGCAAGTATTTCGACAAAAAAAGAAGAGAAGTTACTGAAAAATTGCACGTAGATCCGTATTTCTCACTCGTATTTCCACATATTCGGCGTGTCACTGGTATTGTTTTCTTTATCCGTCAGATATAGATGAGGTTAAGTTATGTTTAAATAAATTTAATGAAACAACATTAGAGTTGGTTCTGTTGTTCGTCGATAGTGTTACTCAACAACTAGTCGTTTTAGAAGCACATGTCATCTAGAAAATTACTTCGTCCAAATGTGAAATGCAACCATGTTGATGGTCAAACATTGATTCGATGCGATAAAGATTGCTATTTAAAATGTCCTCATTGTAATAAATATCTCTGTTTAACTCATATCAATGAACACCAGTTATTACTTAAAGGTGATTTTGAATGGATGGTTAATGACGCTAATAATGCTCGATTAACATTAATATCATTAGAAATGATTGATAATCGATCATTGGTATATGATAAATTAAATTTATGGCAAGATCAAATGATGACAAAAATACGAGAACTTTATAATGAAAAATTAGTTGAAATTGAGTTAAACTACCAACAAGATCTGAAAGAATTTCGACAAGCAAAAGAAAACTGTTCATTTATCATTGAAAACAACTGTTCATTTATCATTGAAATTATTTTCTAAAAATGTTTATATCAATCATTTTAAATGGGATACACAACATGGCTTGATTAAAGATATTTCATGGTCTTCATTTTTGAATAAATTTTTGATTTTATCATCCTATTATCTCTTTACATATGATTGTCAAACGTATCATTTAAAAAACCAGTTAAACTTAAACATTAGCTCGGATAATTTATCTTATTTAACAAATAATGATTATCATTTATTTATTAATCTTAATTTAGGAGATTCATTGGAATATTTCAATATGAACACCTGGATGTTAGAAAATAGTTGGTCTAAAAAACAATTATGGTACGAGGAAAATGATAAAATATATCGTATACAATTGATTTGTGTTAATAATGAATATTCGATGGCTATGTCAGTTTTAACTGAAAATGATAATAAATTTATGATTGACTTTGTTGATTTGAATATGAATCATTTACGTCGTATTAATCCATCATTTTCTATTTGCTTTAAGTTACATTTATTAAACAATGAATGGATAACAATGGATCCAGCATCCAGTACACTTTATTTATTAAATGAAAAAGGTTATTTGAAACAAATTGAATACAAATTTAGTTTTGAGAATCGTCTTGTTTTACGTTCATTTGGTCATCATTATATTATTATGGGAACAATAGAAAATAATCAACCACAATTGAAATTATTTAAAACGAATTTTTAATGATAATGAGATAATCAGCATATTAATAGAGAAATGTGACTGTCGAGGACAAGATGTATTATCCGAAATATTTAATGGTTGTTTTCAAATCAAGAAAATAATTATTTGTATTCCAAACGGCGTAATTACTCTTTTTGTGGTTTCACAAGGCTAATATGTACTCTTGTTGTTGTTTCCTCATTTATTACTATGTCTGTATTTCATCAATATCAGGCAGTACTTTGAGAGAAAAACTTGGATATAATTTACTTAATTACGTCAACAATCTCTTATAGATTGTCATATTATCCTTGCGATATCAAAACATCCAATATGTGTGAAGAAAAAGTATATCTGTTTTTCTAATTTTTTTATATAACTAACATCGTGTGACAGTCAGCTTGTGACAAATTAGTTTTTTATTTTTTGAACGAAAAACAGTTCACTAGTTTCTCGTTGTTATGGACATAAATTACAGTAATGGAAATTGTTTAATCTATGTAAACTGTTTAATTGATAGATATCAATAACTTTTCTCAAAGAAGAGCTCATATTCATGGCTATAAATTGACACATGAAATCTATTTAAAAATGATTCAAAGCACAAAATAAAACGATATCCCTCGTACGGTTAATGATTACTTAAATAGCATTAAAATAACTCTAGTTGAATCTAAAATTTATGTCCATATCGATATTTCAAAATCATTAATCGTACAAATGATCTCATTTACTATTTGTTTTAAAATATTTCTAAATGAAGTTCATATGTCGATTTATAGCCATGAATATGAGCTCTTCTTTGAGAAAAGTTATTAATATCTATCAATTAAACAGTTTACATAGATTAAATATTTTGAAGAACTACAGTTCAAGGAGGATATAACTGTAGTGATGATGGTGGTGGTGGGCGGCATGATTTCTATATTCCTTTTCGGAACAGTCATTACACACTACCTGTCGGTCCACTTATCTAATTCTTCTTTGCTGACCGCTTATCTTCTAGTTCACTTGCTAGAGTGAGTGTATTAAATATAGTATAGTCACTAACGTAGACAAGTACAGTGTGACGCAAACATTCTGGGACACTTCAGTGTACAGTCGCCATTATTAGGAACATCATTCTATTTGCATGATATATTTTACTGAAAGTGCTACCATTGTATCTGATACAGTAAACATTTCTCTACAAAATGAAATGTTGCGCGACTCTGTTCGATGAACCTTTGACGAGACGAGATATAAAAATTTTAAAAAACGAGAAAAAGTGCGATTTTGATGCCATCTGAGACATGCTGTCAACCTGTGCTCTCATAGCACACTTCTCCTTTTTCTATTTTTCTAATTATAATTTAGTTTATAAGTTGAATAGAGAAATGCAACCTGCTTGTACAGAATGGGGAAGTAGCATTGGATGTGTCTCATACAGTCGCTCTGTTCTACGTGGTACATGAATTATCTGGTCACTCAGGGCTCAGTGTGAATTAACTGATGCGTACCATCTGTTTTTTCTTGGTTTTTATAATCGGTCGTTTTGCTCTATCAGAAGTAACGGACCTCTGTTCTGGTTCTTCTGTGATACTGTTACAACTCTTTTGGGCTAATGTATGTAACAGCGTACCTACGTTCTGACTAATCAGAACCGAAAATTGTAATTTACTTGTGTTCCTCGAATTTTATGTTGAAAATTATTATCACCGTTTGCTGTTAAGGATTATAATTAATGTTGGTCAAAACTGTTCTATATCCTAGTCTGTCACCACGCAGAAAAAGCATTTTCTTGTTATATTCTCGCAACAGTATTCCTAGAATTTAATTAGTAGTTTTCTTTCATTTATTTGCACAGTAAAAGAAGAAATCTCATACTATGGAGTTACAAGTCAAATCCAGCTACGGTCTAATAATTGTTTGCACACAGAGAGCATATTCATATTGCATCCAGGTGTTACAGAATGCACATCACTTGCAGAAATATAATGTTGAGGGGTGTTCTCTCAGTTCGTCCCAAATTAGTCTCTCTCAATTCGTTCCATAAATTTTTTTTCTCAATTCGTCCCAACTAAATTTGTATATATATTTAACTCTCAGTTCGTCCCACATATTTAAAGTATAATTTTCAACATTTAATCAGCTTCTTTTTCACATCAAGGAATAATTAATTTATCATGATGAAAATTAGAAGCACACAGTATCTTGCTATGCCTGCTAGGCTGAATATACTACAATACAGAGAACGATGCTGAGAACAGTATAATCAGTATAATTTAAAAAGATGCGCTAAGATTTGAAAAGGATACTCAGTGCCCTATATAAATGTTAGGAGATTAAGTGAATTACTATATCATACCAAAATGTTACGTTTCACAGAGACTGAAAAAGGTAATGTAGTACTAAACTACAATTGTTATCAATATACGAAAAAACGAGAAAATAAAAAAAGTAATCAATGGAGATGTCGTGATCGTAATTGTTCAAGTACAATATCATTATGCTCACAGGATTTATCAATAATCAAAAATGAAACAACTCATACATGTGCACAAGATACTAATAAATTTATTATTGATACAATTATTGGAAGAATGCAAAAACGTACACGTGAAGAAACAGCTACAATTCCTAAAATTTATTCTCAAGAGATTGTGAAAGCAAGAGTCGAAAATCCTGGCCTTCCAACTGGTAGTCTATTTCCAACACTTTCCAACATTGATGCATCGCTCTATCGTCGTCGTGCAATTAATTATCCTAAATTACCAACAACAATTAACGAAATTAGTTTAAATGGTTCATGGAAATTAGATAAAAATGGTGGTGATTTTCTACTGGTAGATGAAACATGTAAGTAACTTTATACTTATATTCTAATATTCTCTAAAATATTGTTTTTCCATCTTACTAGATGGAACGGACCGATTGATGATTTTTGGAAAAGAAAAATACAAGAGATTGGTTTGAGTCGTTATTTTCTTCAAAAGAAAGATAATGATAATATATCTGATGTTGAACGTAAGCAAGCCGATCATTGGTTTCATGAGCTATTGGTTTAGCATTAATTCCGGCAGATATTGTTGAAAGTACATGGGTGGATATTATAGGTTTGCATACTCCAGATTATGCCGGTGCTGTTACATTTAACGACTATCTGGTTCAGACATACGTTGATAGAGTTAGTTTATTGAGATTGATTTATTGAGATAATGTTAGTTTATTTGAGATTGAAACATGAAATGCTAATAATGCCATCTTAAATGATTTACCGAGAACCAACAATCACGTTGAAGTCGCTTAGAAAGTATTTTTCCATTGCACCCGCATATTTTTGAATTTGTTGAATTATTACATGATGAACATGTATATCAACACCATCAAGCTGAACTAACGATCAATTAGCTATTAAATGTGGTAGAGCTGTGAAAAGAAATCCGGCTAAAAAATAAATTATTTTTTTGGTTACTCATCTGTGGTGAATAAAATATATGAAAAATTAGTTATCTTTCTCTGTATTGTAGTATATTCAAGCTAGCAGGCATAGCAAGATACTGTGTGCTTCTAATTTTCATCATGATTAATTAATTATTCTTTGATGTGAAAAAGAAGCTGATTAAATGTTGAAAATTATACTTTAAATATGTGGGATGAACTGAGAGTTAAATATATATACAAATTTAGTTGGGACGAATTGAGAGTAAACCATGTTGAGGAATTCAACGAATGACTTAAATATCAATTCAACATAATAGATTCATAGTACGGACGATGTCCATTTACATCGTCTAGAAATTATTTAACAACAGCTGATAATTCTCGAACGTTTGGCAATCTTCGTCATTTAATTACTCAGCTTGATGGTAATGTTCCATGGATTTATGATTATCATAATAGTGAAAATTACCCTCGAGCTTTTATCTCAACTAGGGATGTTTTAAACCTTGAGACCTTGCATCAAAGATCACATGTTTTCATTATTCAAACCCCAAGCTCTACCAAGTTTTTGTGTCAGACGTAACCAGTTTTCTCTGCCGTATCCGAAACTAGTGCTAGAATTGGTCATAATCAATAAAAAAGTACCGGACTTGGTAAAGCTTGGTGAAAATTGACTTTTATCTGAATTTTTTAACAAGTTTTACCAAGTCCGGTACTTTTTTATTGATTTTGACCAATCCTAGCACTAGTTTCGGATACAGCAGAAAAAACTGGTTACGTCTGACACAAAAGCTTGGCAGAGCTTGTGGATTTGAATAATGAAAGCATGTGATCTTTGATGCAAGGTCTCAAGGCTTATAACATCCCTAATCTCAACGAAAGGTCGAGAAAATTGATCAGATTAACCATAAAATGTTTTAAGCTCACAAACTTACACTAATATCGTACGAGAGCATGTATTGTGTAGAACGCAAGCAAACAGTACTGAGATGTGGCGACCTTATCAAGATATGAATATGGCTCATTAACAAAATGATCTTATTAAGTAATATTCCCACTATGAAGTAGTTATGTAACACATCTCGAAACTGAGCAAAAATCTGATCACAAATCTCCCAGAATCTATAGAAAGAAAATAATTTCAATGATAAATCGTCGGCAACTAATATATGTTCATCAGATGCATCAAACACACCAAACTGAATATTTGTTGATTGTAATATAAATGCTTTTTCACTTGTCTTATTCAATATTTGTTCAATATAAAGTTGTTCGTTATTTTGACATTGTTTAATCAATTCAACATTAATCGTTGTTTTACATTCAATAATGAGTACGTAGGGGAGTGCCGATTTGTATACTAATCGATAAAATACTGCACAAAGAATGAGCCATATTCACATTCTGATGAGGGTGCTGTGTGTTGGCCGTCAAACAGTATAAAAGGAAAAATATGGTAGATGGAAGAATGCTTGTAGCAAGACTGTTTATGCTGAAAAAATTACCACACCACGATAAACCGTTCTCTAAATACCTGAGAAAGGGAGTGAGTATCCTTACAGATCATTATTCTGCTGGGAAATCGGAAGTTGGTAAAAGGTGGTAGTAGAGCTCATCTTTCTGTCCATTATTTTATCTGAATTTCTGATTTTCTAGCTGAACTTGTTGCGCCGTGAGCATAAAGAATAGTGAGGCACGTCTCATTTTCCTTTCATAATATTATTATTCCTTTCTTCCTCTTTCTTCTTAGGAAATGTATCTTATCTTATCTTCCTGTAACACCATTGTTTATATTACATTTTCCTGTTACATTATGTTTCCTACTCTAATGTATCTTACATGCCTTTCTCGACTATATATATATACGCACAAGCTGGTATTTGTTGGGTGTGCTTTTGATTTCTCAAATAAGCCATTTGTACATCCAAGTCAAGATTCAAACAAATTAAATGGAGCCTAGCATAACTGATGTGAAATTCCAGAATTATGATTTTATTTTAACAATTGGCTGTACATACATAATACTTCTCTTATAACTCCAAAAATTGAGCTAAGAAATCCCACAACAATTCCGTAATTCTCAATGAACCTTACTATTATATAAGAAAAATTCTGGAATAGTCTTATTTTAGCAGAACTTATAAGACTATCGATTTCGCGGTCAATTCACTGAAAATCGGCGCATCGCTCGGATGTCATGGTATTCTAACTTATCATTGGATGATAGTCATTTATTTAGCCTTTCTTTCTAGAATACTTCAATAGCATCATTTCAAATATAACAGATAAAGCAATTAACAAAAAATAAAGAAAAACTTGAGTTTATACCTTCCAAATAAACAAATTTCTCAAATATCTGTATTATGTCTCTAACTAAGGATGCTTATAATACGTACAATTATTAGAATTAAAACCAGTAATTCAGTTTCATGCTACCCAACTCCAAGAAAAATACAACAACAAGAAATTTCGACAGCTATATTTAGGTGGAAGACGGGATTTACATAAAACTTTATTTTTTCTAATAGATTTCTCTTTCATTGTTACCATCGTAACTCGTATAACCATCGTTTGATACTTCGGTAGTATTGTAGTATGCATTTTCTAGGAAAATAGGATAAACCACATTGATAAATTTCTGCATAATAAAAACTGTTTGTCTAAGTATCTGTTTTGGTACTTACTTGGCACTGCGAATGAAGATTGCGTATGTGCCCTGTGTGATATGTGATCTCTTTGTGTCTGTCTCCTTGGATGTTTAAGCGCGGCTTTAGTATCATACGACCTTAAATCTGTATGGGACTGTGAATAATTAGTACCATTTGTAGATGGTGGCTCTCTGACACTAGTTCGCGTGGATCTCCCCACTCTAACTTTTTCTCCGTATGAAGGTAATGAATTTGTGGTTGAAGAAACTGTTTGAGATGTACGAACGGAAGGCTGATAAAATCGTTGTCTTTCCAGAGTTTCAAGATTGCCTTTAAATTTTGTGTAAAGTGCAAGCGCCTCAAGGTCTGAACACAATTCAAATCTTAATTTGCCTTGAATATAAGCTTTTGGACTCAATTCAAGCATCCATTCAGTACGATTTATACTATAATCTTTGATATTACTAGGAAAAATGAGGAAATTATTTATTATTATTTTATTCAACATACGTATTATTTCTTACGATAACTGGAATGCCCATTGTTTTTCGTTTCGTTGTTCAATAATGATTTGTTTGCTATCAAGTAATAAAGTGCATTCGCCACCGAACTTCAGCAACTGTTTTGTTTTTTCATCATTAACATTTGCACAATATGACACAGCTATCAAAATAAAAAAAATCTTGTCTTAGAAACCAGCAGATGTATTATGACACAAACACCGATATTTTATTCTACTACACGCATATAATACTATACCCATACTTGATTCATATGCTCCATCGCTTTTATTTGTTATGTGTTGCTAGAGAAACAAAATCATCATCATCATTTTCTATAAAGAGTCACTTATTAGAGATCACACAAAAGACAATACCTCGAGATGAGATCTCCATTGGTGACAATCTGTATCATTATCAAATCCAAGCCGATATTTTTTACCTCTGGATTTTATTTCTAATATTGAACTAGGTTCATCTTTAGTTTTGTCATTGAGAATATATCTTACTACTGTTATATCGCTAATTACAATAATCTTTCGGGGATTTTTGCCATTTCGATCGTCTTCATTTGAATCTTTTTTAGATCTTATGGTAAGATAATGTACACTGTCTTTTGCAAATATTTCGCCGTCGACAGGAGACCATTTGTCCTGAAATCGACAAGAAAACAAAATTTAAAATTGATTTGTGTAGGAGGTGATAACTGACTAAACATGTTCAATCCTTCATCGATTAATGTGATATCTTTGAAAAAAAAGTCCGAAGTATAACAGTTTGACCACAATATTAAGTTTTGTTTCTCAAATATTAACATTCATTGTAATTTAACAATTAGAAAAACCGTACCCATGATAGTAGGCCATGTTTTGTATAGAGAAAACGTCCTCGTATACTCGTCATCTAAAGTTTTTGAAATTGATCTATGAAAAGAGTGTTTTAAAACTGTTTCATTTTAAGAAACAATCAGTTTTAATTCCCCATGCATGTATTCTGTCGTAAAATGGAGTAGAAAAGAAAGAGATAAAAAAGTTATATATATGAGGTTTTTTTCTTGGCAAATATTGTTGCAGCATTCAAGTTTTTGCACCTGAGATAAAAGAAATAACAGACGTAATATTCATAAATAAAAGTTTTAATTTTGAAACGCTCATATTGAAACGAACCATATAATAGAATAATCGTATATTCTGAGGCAGTGTTGCAATATTTTCATCTGAAAACTAGCTGTTTGATATTATTGAAATAACTTCTGAGATGGAAAACTGAGATTGATCTCTGTTTTATTCGACAGTAGATAGAACTACATTGTTGGAAAATCGTATTACGGATACGTATCTTTCCAGTTGAAAGAATCGTATGGTAAATCTTCCTTGGCTAGTGACTTAGTTTCCTTTAGAGACAGGCTTGATTCTCTAACTGATCTAAGTAGTGCTGATTTCGTCATGTACTTTATGTGGTTATCTGCATGTTTTTCGTGTGTTCCAATGCATCGACATTTCGTCTCTGGGCTAGTAAGCTTTTCTTTCTAATAAACAAAGTATTTCGGGTTTAAATTTTCAGAACTATAAGAAAAACATATCATATCAACTGAAGGCATCTGCCTTTATACTAAAGTCGTTGTTTTTTAAAAATTTAATTTAAAAATGCCGATTTACTCGCCAATATTCTAAAAAACGATGACGAAAAACTGAAGGGTCAGTGGGGTTTGAAGAACTCACAACGTGTGCTTGTAGAATAAGACAAACAATAGCTTTTTCTAAATTGATGGCAAAACACCAGTGACCATAGAAATATAAAAATACAATGTGATTGGAGAGAAATTACGGTAACTATCCGTTTCAAAAATTTCCGCGATTTTCTAGCGGAATTTTATCAAATTCCGAAATTGCAACTTCTATGAGTAATTTCAGCCTTCTCTTTCATCGCTATAGATACATTCTTAACTCTTGGTTAATTGTCCGAAATGCTGAAGCTGTTGCGTTTAAGCGGAGACAATTTATTTATTAAGGCTAGGAACACATAGGAGAAAGGTAGATATAGGTTGTGAAATGAAAGGAAAAAAACGAAAAGAGGCTATGTCTTATTACTGTCTAAGAAAAAGTTCTATCGAAACTATAGAAGATGTATTCGTTGCCATTCTTGTATAATTGTTTTCTATTACATTCTTCATAATATAATAAAAAAAATGATTGATTTTTTTCTAGGTTACACAACTCAAGAAACTTTACAATACATTATTCTAAAACGACTAAATCGCGTAACTCTGCTACTGGAATCGAAGTACGTTACTGTTTCTGCTCTTTTTGTTTATACTATAGTATTAAAAGAGAATACGCTACAAATGTAAGGGACGTCTCACTTTCTAGCTGTATGATCAGTTCGATGCACTCAATCTTCTTTGCTCTACAAATATCTGTGAGAAAAAGCAGATTTTAATTTTAAGCGTACTGTATTTTAATAATAATTTAAAGAAGATTGAGTGAATCGAACTGATCATAGAGTGGAGTTTGAAGAGCACACTTTCAGCTAGAAAGTGAGACGTCCCTTACATTTGTAGCATATTCGTTTTTAATACTATAGTACAAACAAAAAGGGCAGAAACTGTAACATACTCACACTCCAGTAGCGAAGTTACACGATTTAGCCGAAAACATCATCACTTTTATAGGATTAATCAATATCATATACAAATGTGAGAAGGATGAAGTTTTCTGAACTTTCTACAGTGGCGGCAAAAATTTTCCGTACACCTCTATCCTCTTTTTCTTTTGGTCATAACTCGATAATGAAAAAGGCTTTTGACAAACGGTTTGCACCAAAAGATTCTTCGCTCTCTGTAGTATATTTGTAGATAAGAAAAGTTAGAAATATTCATTGTTGTTCTGTGTAAGCTCATTAAACCGAAAAATGAATGTTTTCTGATCGGCAAAACTTTTCTGTGCAGTTGATAAAAACCTTTTTTTACGCTGTATAAGCACCGACAAAATATGAAAACTATATCAATCGATAGAGGAGAGCGCGCGCTACATTTTGGTAAAAAATAATTTTGAAAAGCTTTTTCCTTAGGGTAAAACCGCGAGCCAAAAGTGTCATACTCTTCAGTGTGACCTCGAAATCTCGGGAATGAGTGTGTGAAAAAAAATTCTGATTATACCATTCGAAAGAGGGTCCAAAACTAAGAAAGATAAATATAGTGTGGAAGTTAACTGAGAAAATTTGACCCATCTTTTAATATTTTGGATCTTGAGGCTATTTTTGACATATCTTTTCTGCACGAGAGGGTAAACATTTTTTGGATATCTTTGCGTCATCATATAGTCAAGTAGTTACTGTATATAGGTATGAAAAGAGAAATTTAGACTTTTAAGTTCAGAGGGAAAAACGGGTTTCTGAACATCAAAACCAGCTTTCCACACATAAAAAATATTTTCCATCAAAAACTAACGTCATATTCGTGCTCAGCGTCAAAAACTGCGTTTAGTGATGTATCACTCGAAGTTTAGCAAAACATTTGCTTTCGCAAAAATTTTGCTTGTCAAAAATACCTTTGTTCCGCTGTCAGGTGTTTAGTGTCTATCACAAAAACAAGATCTTCAGACGTTATTTTTAGAAGAGTATGGCACTTTTGGCTTAAAATCGCGTTTTTACCCTAAGGAAAAAGCTTTTCAAAATTATTTTTTACCAAAATGTAGCGCGCGCTCTCCTCTATCGATTGATATAGTTTTCATATTTTGTCGGTGCTTATACAGCGTAAAAAAAGGTTTTTATCAACTGCACAGAAAAGTTTTGCCGATCAGAAAACATTCATTTTTCGGTTTAATGAGCTTACACAGAACAACAATGAATATTTCTAACTTTTCTTATCTACAAATTATACTACAGAGAGCGGAGAATCTTTTGGTGCAAACCGCTTGCCAAAAGCCTTTTTCATTATCGAGTTATGACCAAAAGAAAAAGAGAATAGAGGTGTACGGAAAATTTTTGCCGCCATTGTATAAGAAACATTGGGACTATTAATAAATGAAGAATGTTTTCTGTACACTACGTACAAATTAGACGTCTTACACCAAACGCAACACGGTTGCCATCTTGTGATATTCACTTTCAGTTTTACATCGTTTAGTTGAGGCGCCTTTTTAATCTAATATTTTTACGATCTGTTGTTTTCCCTCTTCAATGCTGATTATTTTCTTAAATTCATAACGAACAAACGTCATTTTGTTCAACAATAATTATTATGACTATCTACATAACAATATTTTCAGCCATATGTAATAAGTTAAACCCAATATAACGTTTTTTTTCACCGTATGTATTGAATACTACCATAGTGATATATGATCAAATTTAATGAATATATTTCTCTTAATATAGTATTCATGACAATACTATGCATTTACCGTCACAAGCTGGGCATCAGTTTGTATCTAATCGCCAAACGTTAACGATCGATAGTAGTCCCATTCATATCTCATTTCCTGAAAATAATCATGTTCAGAATCCATCTGTTTTCCTACATCCGCATGATGTGGTACAATATGACAGACCGTACAAGGTGCTACCAGATACAGAAGGGCATGGTATGGTACAACACAATCAGTCGTATGATCTAATACATACTCCAAAAACCAGATATAGTTATGGATACAATAATGACCAACCTATATACTATGGCTTTTTAAAAGATATTGCCGCCACAACAACAATTCCTTCTGTTCTGTTTATTTCACGTGGATTAATAACACCTTTAACATCTATTTTAACAACAATATCAACAGTAAAACCAAGTTTTTTAGCTCATTCAACATTAATGTGAGTACTTTTTCCAGTGTACAGAGATATTTATTTTGTATTTGACTACTTTAGTATCCTTATTTGTGTTGGAGCATGTATCACGCTCATATTTTGTATTGGTTTATATCTTTTATGTCAACGTTCATCTTCAACTTCCCCATCGTTTGCCGCCGCTCATCGTCCGGAACAACTTTATTTTCTGGAATCAGGTACAGAGACGCTCGAAAATTTAGAACCGATGACACAAAAAACTGCTGCTGTTGATCGTCATCAGCCACAATTGTTAGCAGCACAAACAAAAGCATTCACTCAACATACAACACCACGTCATAGGAAATCAAAGAAAACAAAAAAGAAAAAACGATTATTTCACTGCTGTGTCGGCAGTAGCAGGCGCTAGATAAACACTAGGCGACTTCCTGCGAACGATTTCATATAGATTTTACAGTTATTGGTTGTTTCATGTCTCGTATTGTAATATAATTTTTCTCTAAAATTTAGGTTTCTAAGGCTATCTCCTTTACTTTCCATATTTATTTTACATGCTCTTTCAAAGCCAAGGGGGAAAAGTCACTTTAGATGGCGTTCCCACTTTTCCACTTTAAGTGACTTTTTCGCTTTTTTTCACTTAAAAGTAACTTTTCTCAAAGATGTTCGTACTTAACCCTTTGGCGCCGGGTTTTTCACGAAAGAAATAAGATGTTTTTTTCCTTTCAAAAAAATATCTGGAACAAATTTTATTGTTATATAGAAGCATTTAGAAATTAGCATTTAGCAAAGCTTTAACACGCATATATGCGTACCCCGGCGCCAAAGGATTAAAAGCGGCTTTTCCTCCATTTTTTTTCTCGTTTCATAACTATTACTTTCGAAAAAACGATTACTTTTTGTTTTTAGTTTTGTTATACCAGCATCACCAACATGGTACTATAGAGGGATAAAAGATTATGATTCAAAACGTAATTTTACATCTGAACTTCTTAAATTTCACTGACAATTTGTTTAGTTACAATTAAGCTAGCTGTTCTGTAGGATATTGATCTAATCATGGTATAACATTGAGATGTTGTTGGCTTACGCCTTTTCCAGATTCAGTAAAATAAAATTATTGACGGAGTGAAAAATCGTACATTAAAATATAAGGTTAAGTTACATACAAAACAATATAGCATAACATAAAAAATAACTTTTAAGTTTGAATTTGTTAATAACTAATGTAAGCTTCTTGAATTTTTCAGTATTATTTTGAAATAACTTCGGTATGGTGAATTGTTCTTATTGTTTGCCCCGAATTAATTTTACATGTAATCACTATAATTTTCAAAACTCATTTATATGTTGTAGACAAAATTTATAATGAGTCACATTTAAAATTTTCCTCTCGTATTTGAATTTTTTATATGAAATTTGTTTACTTTACAATGTGATAAACTCGAACTTTGTACTCGAATAAAAAGTTCTCTCTGAAAAGTAATATTTTTAAGAAACAACAACTAAATGGTTGAACAAGTTCTTCCGTCAATTAAACAGCGAAGAAAAATATTAAGTTAGAGTATAAAATTGATAAGAGAACATATTGGTTTTATTGTATGAATGAAAAACCACTATAAGCAAAGATAAGAGAAAAAAGTTTACATCTGCAGGTTATACACATAATTATTTGATGTTTTTAACACGAGAACAGATTTAGTCTAAGACTATAATTGTCTACTGGACGAGAACGATGCTTCTCTTTTGCACCTTTGCAACCGTTATGCTGGCGTGGTTGTGTTCTAGTTTTGAATCTTTTTGTACAATTTAAAATAACAAATGTGGAGCATTTGCATTCAAATATAGTCTATGTCTTTGGTTTTATCGCTGAAGACATAATATTTAGCTTAACAAAAATTTAGTTGATAAACGTCACCACTTCACATAAAATCTGGATCATGACTAATGATTAAATTTTTTAGGTGATATTGTCAAAAAGTAAACGTCTTCTTATATGGAGAAAAAGCAATATTTTGCTTTTATTTACAAAAGGAAAAAGGTAACTGAAAAACATATGTACTTTTCTACAAAGAAAAATAGAAACAGTAAAAAAATAGAAACTAAATTAGCTTGTATAAATTTATAAAAAAGATGAATAGGAAATCGTGAGCAACAGTAAATTTGACTGATCACCGTTGTCGTTATTACAGCTTGTTTGTTACAGATTGTTGTTGAGTTCTATCCTCTTGTAATATTTGTGACCTTCTATTTAGATTTAGCTATTTGAAAAAATTATGCAGTGCCTTATGCAGTTGCTTCTAATGTTTCATCGAATGATTGGATCGTTAATGGATTACGATCATGCCTTGTTGTTCGACGATCAGATTTGAACTACTTGCAGTTAGACAGTTACCCATTTTACTGTTATTATTGTACGGTTATTCGAATATCACCATGCTTTATTGGATGGCTTTGGTACCGATCTGGCGTATACAGCCAGCAGTTTATATTTCACTCTTTTTTATCTCCTGCGACTTGCTGATATTCCTACCAGTCTATGACGAAACTCATTATCATCGTCAGCAGCAGCAGCAGCAACACCATGGTCTAGTGTAAAAATTCTTCAATCCCGTCGTCGTAATTCTTTATCTAAGCACAAGATAAATAAGTTTGAAAAACATAACTGTTATTTGCATAAATATCTTGCTCTCATAATTGTTCAAGAAGACCACTATCAAGGTCCAAAAATGTCTACAATAAAACCAAGGCGAACAGATCATTTCCGATATTGCAGTCAAATAGAATACGTTGTATGATCGTTTGATACAGACACAAGCATATCCCCGAGTGAGTAAACATTATTCATACCAGTTAATTCTTTTGTACTGAAAAGATATAAATGAAATTATCAATTTATCATGGCTGATGTTCTTTATTCTGTTTCACAAGTTTATAATTAAATAACTTAATGACGATTTAATCTTTTCTTATCTTTTAAAACTTATCTAACTAGCTAAAAATAAATGGAACCAACTGATTCTCTACTCGTAAACAGATCAGTTCAGTGCTAAATAACATTTAGAAAAAGATGAATATAGTGAGCAAGAATAAAGTGTCAAAAATATCTCGAACCAATCATACCAGATCATTTTTAGTGTTTACTGTTGTCTTTATTTTTATATTCAACTCCTCTCATGCTAGATATATCGTTCTCTTGTAGTTCTATAGAGATAATTTATTTAACATTTGAGAAAATTGAAGTTACCAAGTCTCCTTCCTAGCTTTCGTTATCGCTTTTGCATGTTCATTTATTTTAAAATAAAATTTTATTACTTCATTATTCTCCTTTTCGCCGTTTATTATTATCATTTGAGATATAATAGTACATGATGGCAAATAAAATTAGATCTAACATCATCATCAACAACAACAACAACTAGAGAACAAAAAAAATGAAAATTGAACGCTGAAATCTAGTAGAATTTTGATCATCGTTAAATGTTTTATTAATATGTCAATAAATCTGGCTTACTGTAAGCATCAATTTTATTACAACGACAACATGTATACTTCCTCTTTTAAAATCCGAATATCAAATAATTCTAATTAATCAATTGCCATTGTGTTTAGACCATCTTATATCCATATACGTATTTTTACGGGCATGTCTGAAAGAAAAAGCAAATAACAATTGAGTTATTTCATTAAATGAAAAGAATTAAATAAAATCTTAGTTATTAAATTTTAATTATTATAAAGAAATTGAATAACTTGAGTAGAGGACATATGACCTAATATTAGGAGGCAGATTTTGATCGTAAAACAACATCTGTCATTAAGATACATTTTTTTCTCAACAGTAAGCAATGATCGAAGAGAAGTATTTAAGTTCGAGGGTCTTAAGTTGAATAAAGACACACAAGTCTTCAGATCTAATTTTACATTCAAGAATTTTATTAACAACTGCTACACTCTAGATAGAACACACAAACAGTGCATAGCAAACAAAAATATGAAAACAACTTGTTTTCTTACAGTATTGTCAATTTCTGTTTACTTTTCCAATCCCATAATATAATTGGTTGTTGTGAATCTTGTCTTTCTTAGATATGTAGTCCATTTTGCAGTTACTAATCAACACATTTTACGTTACAACCATGTCCTAAAGAAAAATAGATAAAGTTTATCAAACACAGAACTATCTCATATAAACAACATAACTCTATCTCGTAGTTCGCGTTCTTTCTGACCATACCAGTCATAAAACCAAAAATACTTATAAAACTATCGTTTAAACAAGTGCCAAATTTTGCATAATTTGGCAAGAAACTTAAAATAAATGGAATAGTTATTTCATAAACAAAAACTAACCGTATTATGAATAATTTATTCACGAAAAGTGAGAGAGTCATCAATATGTCCCTGAGCTATAAAACAATGACTCAAGCCAAACAAAACAACAACAAAAAGAATCGATAAATAGAAAAATAAAAATAAAACGTAAACTAGTGTACGAAAATAGAGAGATAATCAAGAAAGAATAAAAAAACTAAAGTTACCTGTTAGTTTGACAGATAACGTCTGACAACGCCATTCTACTCATACCAGGTGAAATAATCAACGAGAAACTTAATCTTATTGGACAATGTTAACCAATGAAAAGCGACATCACAGGAAGCCTGTTTTTCACTATGGTATCATTCAAGCATGACTTTTCTTCTAGAAAAAAACGTTCAGAAAATATATGAGCTACAGAGAAAATGTGACATAATTTTCTTGAACTCAAGCCTTTTCTGTGCCTTTGTAAGTTTGCGTTTCTATTCCTTTTTTCCGATTGATTCAATCAAACTTAATTGTTTTCTAGCAAAACGTGAGCCTTCCCAGCGACTGTGCTATCCGGCGAGAATATTGCCAAGCTATTTCAGTTGCTGAGAGATCATTTCGACAGAGGAGGAGGAAAAGGTTTGCATCAACTCTCAAAGGGTTTTTTAGAAAATACAAAAGTAGTAGCGTGTGAATTCATACAAGAGATATTTCTGCAACAGATCTGTAGAGATCTGTTGCACTTCTTTAACCGATCACTATAGATCTGTAGAGATCTGTTGCACTTCTTTAACTGATCACTATAGATCTTTAGTACAGATTGTGGAGAAGATGTGTAGCAGACAATCTGCAGAATCTGTGTGTAATCTGCAGGTTTCTTTTAGAAATTTTCTGCAAACACTAACGATTATCTCAAGACTCGCAGAGACTTTGCTTATCATAAAGTTGAACTACTTTTTTATTATTTTATTATCCGCTCTCCTTTGTGCGTCAACCTGAGTCCAACTATTACTCGCTACATCCTGAAACATACCAACGGACACAAACTACCTTAGACCAAGAATAATCATGATTGTGATAACATCAATCTTTAGATGCATTTCTCTTCTACAATTTCTGAGAAAGAACACCCTTTCTGAGGCACCGCAAACCGGTTAAAACCAGCTAAACAACTGTGACAAGGAAGAAGTTTTTTTTATATCTTAAATTATTTTATTGCTCCAAAAGAGGTTAACAATATTAACATTGTCGTGTTGCATGGCAGAATAAATAAAGAGAAACAAACAAAAATAAATAAGTTTCAAAAAAATATACTCTTAGCATGCGGTTTATCACTTCCTTCATTTTCCTTCTTACAATTAGACAATCGGTAACAAATTCTGTAATATACAGGGTGGCACATAACCTTTGCCTCCCTCCCTCTAGAACCTAAAGAACAGATAATATCACAATGTGTTTATACCAAATTAAAGCGCGTCAAAAACTGGATTTATTGGCACTAAATAGTAAAGGTTATGAAGACGATTTCAGATCGCACTTAAGAAATTTTCAGAAATTTGATACTTTTTGGTGAAGAAAAGTAAGGTGTCAGTTAATCAAAAATGAAGTAAAACATTTTTCTTGGATATTTTTACATAGTTCGATAGAGTTTGTCAAGCTGTACAAAACTACATATTTCAAAATATTTTGGGCCATCGTTTTGAGATAAAAAGTTCAAAAAAACGACTTGGAAATTCTAAAAAAATGCTCGAAAATTCATTTTTTTCATATGGATGAAAAACATTCGATTTTTCAATAAAATTAACTTTTGTTCATTGTTTCCGCTGTCTCAGACGTTTCGAAATGTGCTCATTAGATGCGAGACCGAAAACCCTTTGAGAGTTGATGCAAACCTTTTCCTCCTCCTCTGTCGAAATGATCTCTCAGCAACTGAAATAGCTTGGCAATATTCTCGCCGGATAGCACAGTCGCTGGGAAGGCTCACGTTTTGCTAGAAAACAATTAAGTTTGATTGAATCAATCGGAAAAAAGGAATAGAAACGCAAACTTACAAAGGCACAGAAAAGGCTTGAGTTCAAGAAAATTATGTCACATTTTCTTCCAGGAAATTTTGCATTTTTTCTGAAACCCATTGATTTGAAGGAGGAAGAGGTAGCAATTCTAAAAGCCGTCCATGTTTGTTGGGTATAACAGCATTCAATGATCCTTCTAGATGTCTTTCGAATTGGCTCCAATACTTAAAAATATAGTCTTTTATTGAGGATTCCCTAGCAACCACAAGTGTAGTCAGGCCATTCCAACCCCACAGACTGTGTATAATTCGAAAGTACTTATTATCGAAAGCGGTTAGAAAATCTACGAATATTACTAAAGCAGGACGATTAGATGCGGCAACTGTTAATCGTAAATCTTCTACCAGCGATAAAATTCTAGTTTGCGAGCGACGATGCGCAGTAAGCCCTGACTGTTCACCTAAATGTATGCCATTATCCTCACACCATTTGTCAATTCTCTCGGCAATAATTTTTTCCATCCATTTGGCTAGATTCGGAAGAAGAAAAATAGACCGTAGTTTAGCTTCGGTAGGACAAATGTCTTCTTTAGATAAACAAATACCTTTGGCGTGTTTACCTTCTTGAAAAAAACTCCCTTTTATTTATACACTTATTAAAACGAACCGTGATGATATTCGTGCACTCTGATGGTAAATTTTTTAAAAGGAACGCTGAAATATGCGTACTATCTACTGATTTTTTAACTTTTAGTTTTTTCCATTGTTTAGTTACGTCTTTTATCGAAATTTGTGACAGAGGATTATTAGGTGTGTATGCTATTCTTGCGTATGCACCTAAACATTCTGTGTGATATGGATTCTGAGGATCTGAAAGAGGTTCAGAGAAATGGTTTTCGTAATGGTCAGCTAAAATTTTCACTATTTTTCACTATCTTTGTCAATTCCTTGTGCAGTAGTAAGGCCACGAAAGACCGGAGAATACTTTTTAAAAGTAGTGTTGACTACGTTCTATATATTCTCTTCTTCGTTCATAAATTGAAATTTTTCATTTCTTTTCTTTGCTTTGTACTTTAATTTCTCCTTTTTATTAAGGTTATTCCAAAAGATATATTCTTCATAGTGGCGAAGAAAAAAGATTTTACGATATTTCCGTTTCAGTTTATTCACCGTCTTCGCTAGCAAAACAAGGTGCTTAGGTGGTGGTCTGTACTTTTTCGCCTTCTCATAGGTATTGTATCTGTCCCATAAGGCTGAGAGAAATTTTGTAAACAGGCAGAAAAAGGAGCCCTGGTCGATGTTGTAGACTACACTGTTGCAGTATTGAAATACACATTGCAAAAAGAAATAAAAAAATCTTCCAGTTAGTTTTGCGAAAAAGGACATTTTCGTTTATCGAATAAGGAGATGAAAAAAGGACAGGATAGTGATCTGATCTTCCTTCCTTTAAAACTTCTATGCCCCAGTCTGATGCATCTTGACTGATAGCAAAATCAATTACAGATTCAGATCTTTTCGAAGTTGGTTCTAATAAATGTATAAGTTCGCAGCCTGTATTCTCCAACCATGCTTTCAATTGATTTCCACTCGTGTTATTATTAGTACAATTCCATTGAACATGTTTAGCATTATAGTCGCCAAAAATAATAAAATTTTTATCTAAATACTTTTCGAAATTTCAAAAGGTGTTCACTTTTTAGGAGGAACATGGACTTCACCTAACAAAACCTTTCCTGATATTATTTCAATTTCAAGAATTAAGAAATTTTCTTCTTTCTCGATTACTGTACACGCAATGGACTGATGAATTAGAATTGCTACTCCTCCAAAGCTGTTATCTCCTTTTACATTAAGAAAGAAATTTTATATCTCTCAACTTCCTCGTTTTGTGTAAAACTGCTGTTACTTACTCTGAGAATCGCAGTACCTTTTTGGTGTAATTCTACTTTGAAATGCAGGAAAGAGCAGATATAAACTGCAAAAATTGGTCTTTACACTGCAGTAGGAATGCCAAGCCCAAAGTGTTATTCCATCAAACCACTTTGGTATCTATGTGAAACTTCAATTGCACACTTCGTAATAGGGAACTAGCAAATAAGGAGATATCTCCTTTCACAGAAGTTATCCCGTGTGCGGACATTTTTGGTCTCAGCGCATCGATTGAAACGAAAGAGAACAGAAAGATATGCCTGTGCGAAAAGAGATATCTCCTTATTTGCTAGTGCTCTAATGGGATGTCTCTTTTCACACATGCATATCTTTCTGTTCTCTTTCTTTTTTATTGACAGACTGATATGAGATGAAAAAATGTGCCGCACATAGGATATCCTATGTGGAAAAGATATCTCTAGGACTGTAAAAGTTCCCGTTGCGTTGATTTAACGCTAACTGAAAACACAGTCTTTTCAGTTACCGTTGTCGATAACGGCCGAAGATGCAACGGTAACCTTTACAGTCCTAGATATCTCCTTATTTGCTAGATTCCTAATGAGAAATTTTATATCTCGTGTTCTTAGCAGTTTGGACACCATTGGCATCCAGACCGCTGCGTTAAAAAGTAAAAAATGCTATGTATACAAAAACTACGATGATTTGTTTGAATGTAAATGAAAAAATTACAGACAGTTTGGTTAAACACATGTGTGGGCTATACACAGTAAATATGCTGAAAAACACTGAAAGAAATGGGCAAAAAACGGTGCTTAGATACGCGTATAAAAGAGAACTTATATACGTCTTAAAGCATCTCTAACATGCACGCACGCTACAGTTAGCTATAGATTATTTTTGTTATTTCCTTAACTCTAAAATAATTAAGATCGTCATGAATAGACAGCAGTTTCAAACAAAACGAGAAATTTAAGAGATATAAAATGCTTTGCAGATAAACTACAGAATCTGTTGAAATCTGCGTCAGATCTGTACAGATTGTACTGAAATTCTGATACAAATCTTGTCCGTATTTAGTACAGACAAGTTGCAAATTACAGAATCAATACAGATCTGTTGAGAAATCGGCACATACGTTTTATCTGGGCATTTCTCTAAATCCTAGAGCATCGTTTAGTGAACGATGCTTTTTCTTTGAAGTGTAGTCTTTTCTAAACGTCAGCAGCAGAGCTCCGTATGGACTCAAATTTTTGAGTCCAGTCCAGTCCATGGACTAAAAAAGTCTAGTCCAGTCCAGTCCGAGTCCATGAAATCCAAAAAATCTGAGTCCAGTCCAGTCCAGTCCACATGGACTGGGCTGGACTATGGACTCAGTCCAGTCCATACGGAGCTCTGGTCAGCAGCTTATTTTTTCGCTCTTTCAGTTTGGAACATAAAAAAAACAACGAAAGAAATCGTAAAATTAATTATTCGGATGAATTAGTTTAATTATTTGTCATATGAATATGTAGAATATTGAGAGCAAGCTCTTATAGCTTCCATTTTGGTTCTATCTAGAAATTTCATTTATCGAATTTAAGCGTACTCTGTTGAGAATGACATACAATTTCTGCTTTTTTAACCTTAAGACTATGGAGTCGTTAATAAAGAGTGGTATTTTGTTTTGTTCTAAATAAGTTTTTTCTTTAGAAGTGGGCTCCAAGTTTTTCTGTTAGATTTCGCAATAGTCTCAGATGTGTTTTGGGACCAACTTCGATGTCTGATTTCACTTCTTTCCATATGAAACGTGGTTGTTGTAATTTGTTTAATTGTTCAAGTGTTAATTTTGGTATACATGATGTTAGTATATCATCATCCATAAGAAATTCAATTAATAATTCTATCCAGGCATTATCCTAAAATAATGAGATGTGTTAGAAAATGGTAGAAATCCAGAATAAAGCAGTAGTGTACCGTATTTCTAGCATCATCAAAATAAGCACCTTTCCAAACACTCGGTTGTTTGTCGAACAAACGATTTATATTATTCACGTTTATACCAGAAAAACGTCCTCTTGCAGATTGAACAAATCGTTCTAGTCGATCTAAAGTGGTAGAGTTTGTTAGGTCAAAGCATTCTTTCAAGAAATTCTTTCTATTTACCTTGTAACTGTGGCGGAAATTTTTGACCTAAAATAAGTTTTATGCCATTATGCGTTCATTTAATTATGCATTTTTTTTATCAGTCAATAAACAAACCTAACATCCTTAAACCACCAGTTATGACTAAATCGGTAGTTTCACGTCCTCGCTCCTGTATTTCTAATAACACTTCTAATATCTTTCGACCATCTGTTGGATGTAACAATATATTTCCGTATAGATCACGTTTCCATCTGCATAAAATTACATAATGATAAATATTCGGGCCCCATCGTAACAAACAACCTCTTCCGATCAGTCCCGTGCGACCGATCGGATTCAAGGGCAATCCATTTCGAACTTTATAATGTTTATACACACTACGTCGATCAACAGCTCCATCTAAGGTATTAAAATGTAATTCAATTTCGCTGTTCAATTGAATATCGGGATCAGCACCAAGATTAATCATTATCTCGTGAGCAGTATAATTTGGTGGATCATAATTCTGACATTCATTAGACCATGGCACACAATGATCACCAATTGTTAAACGGTATAATTCGGGACAAGTTGGATAGGGTGATGTTCGAGCACGATGGTGGATGCGAATGATATCTTTCCAATGATTTTCTATTTGGTTGTCATCTATCATCATTGGACGAAATCGAACAAGAGTTGATGAGTGATGTTTACCATTACCACCGGTTGATAATTGTTTTCGATTATTTTCCTCATCGTACGACATTCTCAAAAATGTATAATCGTTATTATTCTGCGGTGGTCGATGTTGACTATGTCGACGTTTCTCATTGTCAATTCGACGATAATGCGAGTTAGATGGTGCCATTTGAGCAATCTGTTTCTTCTGTTTGCTATTCAATAGTTTTGTAGTTTTTCTCGGCCATGTACCTCGAGAAGCAGATGAATCTTTACTATTTTCACTACAATTACGATCGGTCAATTTTTTATGTTTAAAAATATTCTTTTGTCTTTTTGCATGGGAAACAACTCGACGCATGTTTTGTTCTGATTCTGATGTTTGTAAATGATCACGTTCATCTCCAAACACCTGTTTTTCCAGATTAGTTGTACGCTCGACTTTCGATGTTGTGAGAGCAGACATACACGCATTGATCATGACATCTCGAAGAACGTTCAATGATTGTGCAACAAATTCTTTTAACCAGTCGATTTGATCTAATCCATTATTACCATTTTTTGAATTATAATCGTCAATATTTAGGTCTTTTAAACTTTGTTGTTGTTTTTCGTTTTGTTGGCGTACTAAAACTATACCACGACATTGTATCTGTTAGGGTTCTTCTTGAACATTGTACCAGAGACGTTTTCTTGATCTTTTATTTTAGATAATTATTTTAAGGATATCTTACCCACATCTTTTTAGAAAAAGTTTCTACTTTTGAGGTAAATATGATTCAGGGTGAAATAACTGTTCTCTACGAAGTAGGATCGGCCACTTCTGGTCCTCGACATGTTTTGTTCAAAAATTATAAGCATTTCGCAGATCTCAAATACTTTTTTTTGTTTTTGATTTTTACTTTTCGAATTATAAGAAAATAAAAAGAGTCTCATAAAAAACTAAAGCTTTTGATTTTAAAAACCCTACAATTCGAGAAGAGAAAGTCAAAGTCTGCAAAATACTTATAACTTTTGAACGAAACACGTGGAGAATTAGGAGACATCTTATTTTGTAGAAGACTGTTTACTCTACAAGAAAAAGTGTTTGGAGGAATTTTCTAGTACTGAATGGCAGAGAAAAATCTTTAAAACTTAAAGACAACTTATATAGCATGATGTGACAAATTTGAAAAAAATTCGTCAAATCTTCTCAACAAAAGGTCTGGACGAGCTTAGAGTGGTCTTATTTTGTAGATGACAGTTCGTTCTATCATAAATCATGTTTAACCCAAAGTGGAAATTTTCTCTAAAACGAGAAGGATATCCTCTCTCTCACGAAAAAATGTGTATTTACGCGTTTTGCTGGTAAACTGATCGGTTTTCTCCTTATTTTTATTGTCATTTTTCACGAGGTTGAAGTTTCGTTTTTCTAATCCATCCAAATTGATTAAATCATCATTATACTTCGTAGTTGCTATTTTATTATTGTGCAATTTTGATTGGTTATCAATGTTCTCGTGTATTATAGATCGTTTAGTTTGTGCTACTGTTGTTGATATGGCATTTGAGTTTAATGATATTACTCCACAATCATGCTGAAGTCCGGCATCCATAGACGCTGTGAGCAGAAAGGGCATATCATTCTTTGATTCATATGATGTATTGAAACGTTTTTTTGGTTGACTGAGTGCGATGATACTTGATGATCGCTTTACAGATTGTCGTTTACTACTACCTTCACCACAATTATGTTTATCATTTGATTCTGACTGAATAATTAAATTTAATTGCGTTTTATTAATATCACCGCTCGATGACGGTGAACTGACACAATTGCGTATATTGTCGATAGATGTTGATGTTGGACATTCATTATCACTAAAATTATTTGCTGCGAACATTTGAAGAACAGATTCACTAAATTCAAGTTCAATTGTTGAATGAGAATTATCTGAACCGGTTGTCATTTTTGTTTGTTGTCCATGATAATAATCATCGACAAACAAAAATAAAAAAATTCACGTTAAATTAGGCATTTATCAAAAACTAGTCTATTTATAATTATTCTACTTATAGAAAAAAAGAGATTTGTCATATTAGTTGTCAAGGAAACACTTAAGGAAATAACTTAGTGCTATTAAAGGATAAAGTGTCTTTTTATCTCATATCGGCAACTAAATATTCAGTTGCATAACTAAAGGGGTGGACACATTAGAAGATCCCCCCATCCATAGCAGTAGACCCCCTTTGAGTAAGCGAAGCAAAAGACAGATTAGAGGACCCCCTTAACAAAGGTTGAATTTTTGAGAATGCAATTTTTTTAACTTTTTTGCACTTCTTTGAATATGCATCTCTGTAGCTGAAGCTCAATCATATTTTTCTTTCTCTGAACGAAGCAAAATGGGGTCAAATACAGCGGTTTGGAACTGCGTCTCTCATTGCTGAGGATACCAAAAAATATGACTTCTCTCAGGGATACAACAGAAGACCCCTCTAAATTTGCGAGCAATAGGACAGAATAGAAGACTCCGAGTCGTCTAATATATCCACCCCTTTAGTGCAAGTGAAACGTAATAATCCTAAATTTTAATTGTGTTCCATTCTAATAACGTCAAAAACTATTAACTTTTTTTGTCAAGTGATCAGTGTCGCGTCAAAAGGCTATCATGTCAACATAGGACGTAAACAATTTCAAATGCATAATATTTTGGTAGTTTTTTATGTCGAAAGATATTATGTATTTTTGCTGGGAATTTTGTTGTTTTTTCTTGGTTAGTCACTTTCTTTTTGCAAAATGTGCACGATTTGATCTAGAGAATTACGTGGCTGTCAGCTGAAACAGAGTCTGTCGACATCGCAACTTGTGCGCAACACAATTGCTCTCTAGTATTAAATTTCTGATTCTTTTTTAACATCTGAAAAGAATATCTATTATCGAAATAGTAAAACAAAAAGACTGCTTTCTCTTGTCTTAGCAAGATGTACTTCGAAAAACGTAAAGTGTATGGGAATCACTCTGTACTGTCTCTGTTTTCGTTCTTGTTGGAGAAGCTGACACGCATAGATATTGTTTCATAACATAATTATCCACACTTATTTAAATCTTTTTAAACAGAACATTAAAAAGGAGCTTAAACAGTGTGTCTACTACGCAATATATGAAAGAATCTTACCTCAGTTTATCAATCTCGGGAGCAGCAGTATTCTCGATTTCGAATTCAAAACAAGAAAACGTTTAGATCGCGATAAAATTCTTTAAATTTTTTTAAATTAATTAAATTATATTTTTCTTGCAGATGATTTGTAGAAATTTTCTTTTCTGTATTTTCTTGTTTTACCGTTTGATATCATTCAGTGATGGCGTACAGAAAATTACAGTACAAGGAAAATATATGGTTGATGAATTTAATCGTCCAAGAATGTTTCATGGTGTTAATTTTGTTTTGAAGAATCCACCATGGTAAGTTTTCTGAGAAATTTATCTCTTGCTGTTATAACTATACAAGGAGACTTGTTGAGATATATAACTTTCAGGTATCCTGCTATTTTATTAAATGAAACATTTGTAAAGAATCTTTCTGAATGGGGTTTCAATTTTGTACGATTAGGGTAGGTGTTTTCATTTTTTTTTCTTGTGAATTTTCCACTAAACTCTGTTTTCTAGAATGATGTGGGCGGGTACAGAACCGTCACCTTCCAAATATGATCAAAATTATTTGAATATAATGAAACAGATTATTGAATTACTACAGTCATATGGAATTTATGTTTTATTAGATATGCATCAAGATGTTTTATCTAGTCGTGTAAATGCATACGATGGAATACCTGCCTGGTTGTTTGACCGTTTTCCACCGTCACAATATCCATGTAAGAAAAATTGATTAATCATGCGTCTGTTCATATATTAGTTGTATGCATTCTTTTAGATCCTTGGCCATTAAAATCGAACTCATCAGCTTCGGGTGACAATTGGTTTGTTGGTTATATCACTGAAGCTACTAGTCATGGTTTTCAATGTTTATATGACAATGTTGGTGGAGCTGTGGACTCGATGAGTAATTTTTGGCATTTGGTAGCAAGTACTTATGGATCTTATTCAAATGTTATTGGTTATGAATTAATTAATGAACCATGGGCAGGAAACTGGTTTAAAAATCCTGCTTTGTTGTTACCAGGTATAGCTGGTGCAATAAATTTACAACCGCTCTATGATCGATTAAGTAAAGCAATACGCTCCGTTGATAATGATACATTGATATTCTATGAACCAGTTACGTGGGGTGTACGTCTCAATGGAAAATATTTTGGTACCGGCTTTTCACATGTTCCTGGTGGTGCTTCATATCAAAATCATAGTGTTTTATCCTATCACTATTATTGTATTATACTCTCAATTAAACCCATTCCTGGCAATGAAACTATTCCTGTATTTGATCGTGCTTTATGTGATGAATTAGAAGGTCCGGCTATATTTCGCAGTGTTGAAAGAGATCTAAACGAACTCGGTGGTTCTTCGTTTCTAACTGAATTTGGAGGTTGTGATGATACTCCAACATGTATTGAACAAGTTCAATACGGGCTCGATAAGGCTGATGAATTTTTTCAATCATGGGCATATTGGGGAAGTTTGTTTCTAAATGAAACAACAGGTATTCTTGATTTATCTAACATAAAAATGTTATCGCGTCCCTATGCCAGATCTGTTGGTGGTCAACCGATATCGTCACAATTCACCGCACAACGTTTATCCTATTATTTTGCCTATACGATTGATTCAACACTTGGTAAACCAACAGAAATCTATGTACCCCCATTATCCTATACAAACGGATATAATGTAACTGTTAATAAAATTCTAACATGGGTTATTGATCCATTAAATAAAAATGTGATTTTGGTTTTCTCAACAAGTTATATTCGGAGGAATGAAAATTTGATTGGCATTGTTCAAATAAATCCTTTGTCTTAATTTGTTTTGTTTCTCGTTACATTACATTCTCATTTTTTCGTCCGTTTTTGTCCAAACACAGTCGGTGTAAACATTTTTTTCTATAATCTATTTTTAAATACAATTCTTTTATATGATATTTTTTTCATATTAACAAATAAGTGCAATAAAAAAGAAACGGTCATTTTGACTATTTCATTACGAAAATGTATCTTAAAGGGTATCTAAAAGGACCTCTTTGTCGTAAATCTACAATCAGTTTTTTCTGCAAGATAAACGTTTGCTAGAGGCTGGATGTTTACAAGAATATAGTGTGGCTTCTATCAGGGAAAATTTATGTGTGTTAAGACTCTCCTGGCAGAAATCTCTCTCAATATTGAGCAGTTGTATATCTCAAAAACTAAAACGGATCCTTTTTTTCATAAAGAAATCAGTAACGTGTACTTCAAACCAGTATAAAAAATGCACATAGATTTTCTACAATTTTAATTTGTGAAGTTGGCAGATTGCGAAATAAATTTACAGTGAGTCCTCTCTTTCATTCGTTTATAAATGATGAACATTTGATGAAAATATAAAATTTGTTCTTTTCTTATTTTGTTCTCTAAACAGAAAATTTTCTCTTATAGGAAAGTTTAAATACCCAAGTTGAAGAATCGTACGAGCGGATCGTACAAGATTGGATAAGATCAGATACGATTGTGTTGTATGGTCGTACACACATATGAATCTTCTCAATTCGTTTCTTTTTCATGTCTTTTAATCATGTATTGAAGATAAAAAAAGTCACTCGGTTGGAAAAACTACAAAAATTTTTCAGTTCATTGCATGATTCACATCAAAACAGGAAAAAAAGAATTTAAAAATAAAAATAACATAAATTTCTTAAAAAGAAGGATCAACAAACAGAGGATTACAACCTATGGATTCGACAACCTAATCCTAACCTAACCATTGAAAAAAAAAATAGAACAACCTATAACCTAACCTAGCCTATAACTTTTGCAACCTAATCCTAACCTAACCTATAGGTTAGGTTAGGATCAACCTGCAGGGCTCTGCTTCGTGGGACGAATTGAGAGTAAATCACAGCTAGTGTGCTTATTTCTATGAATTTGAAACGTGAAAGTGCCATGAAATTAAAGTGAATTTCCTGTAGCAACATACTTCTAACACTAAACAAGTCATTTGAATTCGAAATTCAGCTTTTTTTTAATATTTCAAGTATAAACCTCAACTCTTGAAGTAAATTTACTTGAATTCTGTCAGCCAAGTACTTACATTTTGCTTGCCAAGTACTTTCTTAAGTACTTGACAATTAAATTTACTTGGAAAAGTCTACAGATACTGTCCTCATTACTTAACCCAAGTACTTGACTCAAGTACATTCTCTAGGGTCGACACCACTAAAATTGTAAGTTTTCTTAAAAAGCAAAGATCTACAAAACATATGGAATAAAAGTCATTTGAGAAACTGTATAACCACTTAGCTATCACTGGAATGTGATTCTGATTCGCTTTGCTTTTGTTCACTATGGTCTGGAATCATATCATCTTTAACGAAAAATGATGCTGACTGCGAGCGTCATTACATATGTGACTTACAACACAACGCTTTCTAATGAAAAGAAGTATTTATAGCTATCCTAATTTTATTTACCACCAACCTTTCTTCCCGTGAGGATAAGAGTGACTGAGAGCTGTAGAATATTATATAGATATTGTGAGGAAGAGTAAATGTCAGCAGGAACAGAATAAGCGCACTAGTCTGTACTTAAGGAAAATTCGTTCGTGAAAATAACGATCTACGTTGCTTTCCTTGCCTAAAGAATTTCTGAAAAAAGTTAACACTTCTACTGTACGAACAAAAAATGGGGCAAGACTGAGAAAACCACAAGCAAGGACAAGACAGTGTCTTTCATCAAGGAAACCGAATGTAAACAGCAAGAAGAGAGATGAACAAAATAAAAAAAATAAACCATGGTGTGTTTCCTACTAGCCGTCCATTTTTCGGTCAGAGATGGCTGTCGTCGGTTTTCAATAACACAGAAAGATAACTCTAATAAGCACTTCACTAAATTTTATCAGAAAAATATGCTATTCTTAGAAAAAAATAATCAAAATCAACGTAATATTCGCCTCTCTATGATGCCATATTGTAATTTTGCACATTTTTTTGTATAAATATAACATGCGATGCAAAAGTCTTTGCAAAAATGTCGAGCGTTGGTTCAGCAGGTTCCTGATGTGCTGACGATTTAATTACTTTTCCGTTGGAAAGAGAAAAGTCTGAACTTCAAAGAACATAGGAATTATAATTGAGAATATAGAATTTGTAATTGAGTTTGAGTGAGAAAAAATATGAATATGAAACGTCGCCGAAAAAGCTCTTGCAACGTATTTTTTTCTTTAATTTTTCACTGCAACCTGACTAGAAAACCTTCATTGAACTTAATAGATGAGAATGTCACCTGCGCAAAACTGTACCAATCCATGTACTGTCCAAAATTTCTCATTAACTCGTTAATAGTAATAAAAAAATTATTATAAAACTCAGTTTTGGTACAAAACTCTACTTTTCATGGGTAAGGTACGATGTTGAGAAAACTTGTTATTCAGGGATCGAAGTATGTTAGTAAAAATTAAAACTATTATCCATTTCAAAAAAGAAAAAGGATGGCCATTTCTTGAATAACTTTTGATTAGTATGCGATGAACACAAACGGTTGGTACCGTTAGAAAGCTCAGAGCTTCTGCTATCCAACCGCATATTTGGTCGATTTTCCGTGTTTTTCCATAGGTGTTTCCGTTCTTACTTTTCATTGCGAAGTCACTAAATGGGGTCAAGAAAGATTGAAATCGAATTTTGACATCACCATTAGATTCGTCATGAAAAGATCCTCAAAATGAGTGATTACCCGAATTTTTCACACCGACCTTTCCTATACCCACAAGGGCCCAAGGGGCAGGATAATGAGAAAAAACGGCCTCTTTTTCGCGTTATTTTTCAATCGAGACGAATTTTTTCTGTAGGTTTTCGACTATCATTCGATGTGTCTTGGAAAGCTCTACAATATCTGTTAATAGGACACTTAACGAAGCTTGGCAGCGGCTGAATCAAATACTAGATTTTTTCATAGGTCGCCGCTATGCTACTCGAACTGACCATCACCTTTCTCTATGAAACTAAAGATGATCTCTAATCATTCATACATCATTCCATGCGCTTTGCAAGTCTCTGCAAGATATGTTAATAGGAAACTTAACGAAGCCTGGCAGCCGCCGTGTTTGGGTGCTAAATACTGCGCCGCTTTAACCTCGAATGACTCCAGAAATTGCTCGCCACCTTTATTTTTGATTTTTCTCGTGGACCATACAAGCTAGAACAAATTTGAAAAAAGATTTGAACAACTGATAGAATTCGGAATTTACTGTGCTTAAAAGGGTTCTACCGTAGCTCTTTAAGTCAGAATCTTCGGAAAACCAAAATCTCAGAAAACCAACTCTCAGAGTTCAATCTAAAAATTCGTTGTAAAAGCTCCATTGTGTAGAGCAAACATTTCTGAAGAAAATGAGACGTCTCCGAGCTCTTTACAGCACGTTTTAGTGAATCAACATTCAATGTACGGAAGGCCCTACGCTTGTTTTCCCGTTAGTTTTGCTGGTATGGCACGGTCCGTACATTGAATGCTGATTCACTA